GAAGGGCAATCACTCCAAGTGTGTGCACCAGGATCAGGCAGAGCCTTGGTCTTGGGACTCTCCCACAGTCCTGTCCTCACTACCCTTTGCAGCTATTCTGCTGTCCCTTCTAACACTAACTTTCCAAGATGTTTCAGAGATGAGAAAGCAGCCTGCAGAAAACAGTAGAAAAGCGTGATGGAAAGTGCACTAGGCAAAGATCTTATCTAAGGAGCTTAGGAGAAAATGCACCAGCAAGCCCTCTTCCCGTCACAGACACAGTCCTGTTTGTCCCCACAGGGCAGACATGAAAGGGTGCTGGTAACCCAGAAACGCTGGACAGCCTCTGGGACATTAAGTACTTCCAAGGATCTCAACTGTTCTCCAAGCCTGCCCAGACCTCAAAACTCCCAAGAGCAGAGAAATATTTTCTTCCCCCTCAGTCCCCAGGTAGGGGCTTCACAGTCAGGAGGACTCTGTGTAATAAATGGCGTACTCACCAGGAGACATGTAAGGACAAATGGCCGTAGGGAGCCTAGTGGAGGACACCGGGATTCCGCCCTGTCCATGCTGGGATTTTAGCACTAGGCAGTGACCGGGGACTACAGCCTTAGGTAGGCTGGTAGGCGGGAACTGAAGTCCTCCTCCACCCTCCTCCAACCCCACACACCTTTTTCCAGGACACTATCCAGCTCTGCCCCTCCCAGCTAGGCTGGCCAGAAGACAGCCAGCAGCCTAGGAAGGAAAGCATCTCCCCCACACAGAAACACTGGTTACACCTCTCCTGTGAGTTTACTCTTCAGAGCTACTACTCTTGCGGAAAAATAATTCTACTTTTTTCCTATTCAAATAAACAATAAAATCATAGAGGTATACAGATAAAAAGACATAAACCTTTCTCTAGGAAGCAAAGCCTTCGGAAACCACAGCACACAAAGTTGGAATGCACAGATAAAATCCTTCTGTCAACAGGCCAAAGCCACCCACAAAAACAAACAAGTGAAGCACTCATACACAGAACTGCTTCCCTAGCCGGAAGTGGTTTATTCCAGCACTCCAGAGGCAGAAGCAGGTGGATCGCTGTGAGTTCATGACCAGCCTGGTCTACAAAGCAAGTTTCTAATAACACAGGGAAATACTGTCTCAAACAAACAAGAACTGCTTCTCTGTCCCTCCCTCTGTCCCTCCCCACTTCCCTCCCTGTACCTTAACTTTTTCTCCTTACTTCTCTCCCCCAGTGAAGTAATTTCTTTTCCCAGGCCAGTTGCTCCTGGCAGCTTTTCCTAGAATTAAGTCCAGCGTTATTTTTTTTTCACCCGAAACAGGGTTTCTGTGTGTAACCCTGGCTGTCCTGGCCTCACTTTGTAGACCAGGCTACCCTCGAACTCACAGCCCCACTTGATTTTCAGTTTTTTTAGTTTAGCTTTTTCATGTGAAATATCCTAATTTGACAATTCCAGAGACAGGGAAAGAGACCCAGCATAAACTGGTTAATGGTTAAGGAACTGTTTTGTATCTAGATTATTCTTTTGGTAGTGTGTGTGTGCGTGTGTGTGTGTGTGTGTGTGCGCGCGCGCGTGCACATGCTTTAGTTCAACAAAATATACAATTAAACTGGGGAGTTTGCAGCAAAGAAATGACTCATTAGGTAAAGGTGTTTGCCACCAAACCTGATGAATTAAATTCAATCCCCAGAATCCAAATGATGGAAAGAGAATAAGTTGCCCTCTGACCTCCACACGTGTTGTGGCATGTATACATGCATTCTCCCCCCATCTCCCTCTCCTTCTCTCCCTCTTTCTTTCTCTCTCTCACACACAGAATAGTCAAACAATAATTTTAAAAAATAAACTGCTAAATTTTATTGTATTGTATACAATGCAACAGATTCTCAAACAAAAACGAGGGAATATGAAAAACAACGCAAAATTTGTTTCAGACTGAGGAGAAAACCACAACATTAACCAAATCTGGTCCATAAACCAGCTCATAGCCTGTTACCTGCTTACCTATTGACTGGCAAAGTCCTGACTTCCTAGGAAGAGTAATAATGACTATAATTAGTTAAATTGTTAGCTGCACACTCAGGCAAATTACTTAACCTGAGATGAGGGGAGTAAGGAAGGCTCATACTTCCTTCATAGATACTAAGAACAAAAGATTAATATTGAATAATTTACAAAACATATAACCATGCTAGAATTCCAAAAGCAATTATTCTTTTCAACAACCAGTGTCTACTTGTAACTGAAAAACTTAATTATCTGTAGAAAATACAATTAGAAAAAATAAGGCAGAAGGTCCCTAAAAAAACAGTAAACCTTTATAAGCTTAGTAAAATAAATGAGGACTCTACTATAGCTCTTCATGCCTATTGCATTAATGAAAACCTCTGATAATGACCATTGATCTCATTTCACTTGCTGAGACGTTATCTCTCAATATCTTTTCAGTAACTAAAGGTGTATGGGTGTGTGGCTGTTGAATGTAAGAATGATGAAAGTGGAGCTAGCGATGGTAAGAGGTGGATGACAGGAGAGAAACTGCCATTTGGGAGAAGCAACTTGTAGGTCCTTCTACTCTCTTCATATTCAGTTCAAAGATTAGAACCCTAAAGTTCAGTTGTGCATTTACAGTTTGGGCAGTATCTTGAGACATTCTTAGTCTCAGCACCATCACCTGAGATTACAAGCACTGCTTCTAAAGGCTTTTTATTCTCCATTAATTCTCCTACCTTGTCTTGCTTGTTCTTTTCTTCCTAATTCTTTTCTTTTTTGTTTTTTTGCTTTGTTTTGTTTTTGTGGTTGTTGTTTTGTTTTTTGAGACAGAGTTTCTCTGTGTAGCCCTGGCTGTCCTAGACTCATTTTGTAGACAAGGCTGGCCTCAAACCCATAGAGCTCTGCCTACCTCTGCCTCCCTGAGCGCTGGTATTACAGGTGTGTGCCATCAAGCCGGTTTCTTTATGAAATTCTGACAGTAGCAAACCCTGGGCAGGTGTCAGACTTCCCCTCGGAATCAGGTGCTGCATCCCTCTCCATTACCTACTTTGTTGTGTTTTCCTTGTCTTTGTTTTGTAAGCTCTTTTCTACATCTTTATAACTATACATAAATTCACTGCAATCTTTTTATGACATTTATTTATTGGTGTGTGTGTGTGTGTGTGTGTGTTTTAGTTCAACAAAATATACAATTAAACTGGGGAGTTTTTAGCCAGATAAGTGGCTCATTAGGTAAAAGTGTTTGCCACCAAGCCTGATGAATTAAGTTCAATCCCAGAACCCAAACAATGAAAAGACAGCAAGTTGCCCTCTGACCTCCACATGTGTTGTGGCATGTGGACATGCGTGTATGTATCTATGTGCCAGCAGTTCCACAATACAGTGTGGCATCAGAAGACAACTTGTGGGAGTCAGCTCTCTCCTTCCACCATAAGAAATGGAACTCAGGGCTGGGGAGATGGCTCAGAAGCTGAGAGCTCTGGTTGCTCTTCCATAGGTCCTGAGTTCCATTCCCAGTAACCACATGGTGGCTCACCTATCTATAATGAGATCTGGTGCCCTCTTCTGGCATGCAGGTGTACATGCAGGCAGAACATTGTATACATAATAAATCTTAAAAAAGAACAAAGAAATGGAACTCAGATCTTCAGTTTGACAGCAAACCCTTTACCTGCTGAGCCATCTCATAGGCACAGGATCCACGTCACTTGCAACCAGTGAGGGCTGAGGCTTGGCATATAAGGCACTCAATTTTCTTAGAATTATCTTTAATCTCTGGTTGTAGGGACTGGAGTTCTTGTCTATAGATATAGACCCTTGCTTGGATAACTATTTTCACTTTTCTTAATATTAATTTTAGCCAATCAGTTCTACATTCTTTTTAAACCTTATCAGCTCTAGAGAAACATGTGCAATCACTCACAACATACTCCTAAAGTTTCCAACAAGCTTTAAAAATAGCTGGCTATGTGTCTTTTTTTTTTTTTAATTTACAATTACTAAAAGTAGTGTGAGGCTGTTGTGTCGCTTAAGTGAGGTGTGTTTTCTTTGTCAATGCAGTGAGCAAAGTGGTCAAATGTCTTCTTGATGGAATAATTCCTGAATGCTTTGAAAATATTGTGTGTGATTCAAGGGCTACAGAAAACAGGCCTCTGAGCAGAAGGCAGGGGGGAGGGGGGGGCATAGGCTCGACATTCGGGTAAGCAAAGAAAGAGTATGAGTGACCGGGATTTTGTCCACAGTCACCAGCACCTTTGATTCAAAATTCGTCTCTGCCAATTAGCTTCTAGGCTTCAAGGGTACAATAATCATAAAGTAATCCTAAGAGAAGGCAATGGTTGTTGATACTTCTGAGTGTGCGTGGCATAAGACGGGAAAACAGTTTAAACCTTTTCCAAAAGACAAGCAGGATTAGGGTTTTGGAAAGTCACAGTTTTACTTTTGTGACCTGAGTCCCTGGCACGCACACACACACATCGATATCCCATCCTTAGTCTTTTCTAAACTATCTGGATTTTTGCCTCTTTCCCTAAAAGTACAGGAAGCTATGCTTTCCAAAAGACTGATCTCCTTGGCACTGAGAACCAAATGAAGTCCACAACTCTGACCAGATTTTCTAACTGCTTGAAATAGTTGGTTGTCAGGTAGCTTTTAATGGTTCTCCCTTCTCCAACAGTGTCGTATTTCACAGATGGCAGCGATTTTTAAACTTTTCTCTCTTTCTTTCAAGAAAACTTATGTGGATTACCCTTGACCACTGGTTTCCACCAGAACACCTCTACTTGGATTTGGCTTGCTTGCAAATGTCCTTCGGAGCCTGAGTCTAGCCCCTCTATGGCTGGCTCCTCCACTTCAAACACTAATGCAGTGCTCATCGTTACATCACGCACAGTATCTTTAAGATGCCGGAAACATTCTGCACAATGGCCCCAAATCAGGCTTCCTATTGGCTGACAGACGTCAAAACGGCACCCACGTCCAGGTTATTCACGCCTGTGTCCAGTTCAGTTCTTGGGAACTTACTTTCGACATGTATTCTTGCGGTGTACCTAGTTTGATAACCATCCGGGTTCACTCATCCCGGTTCCGCCACGAAGGCCTTTACCGGAGATCATGCACAAAGCCTCTTGATTCCTGGGCGCGCTCATTCTCACGGCTGCCCGGCAGCCGCAAATCCGACAAGTGCAGGTACTCGCAGCAAGGAGGCGTGAACCGCTCTGAGCGAAGATCTCGTTTCGCGAGACTTGACTTCAATACTGAGAGGCCACGCCCCCTCGGATCTCGCGAGACTCGGAGAAGTGCTCCGGGAAAGTAGTAAGTGGGCGGGCAGACCGGACCCGGCAAGATGGCGGCTCAGGTTGTCGTTCTCCTGAGGGAGGTGGCGCGGCTCGAGGCGCCGCTGGAGGAACTGCGTGCCCTGCAGTCCGTGGTGCAGACTGTGCCACTCCACGAGCTTCGCGAGCAGGCGGCGGAGTTACGCCTCGGCCCTCTGTTCTCCTTGCTTAACCAGAACAATCGGTGAGAGAACCCCGGGGCTTGGGTGGGTAGGGACGGCAGCAGTGGTTTTTCGAGAAAACTCAAGGCTGTCCAACTTGAAAATTTTCACAACTGTGTGTTGGCCAGGTCTCGACGGCTCACCTCTTTAGAAGGGGTCTTCTGCTGGCATTTGGCGGGATTCACCGCATGCCTTTTAATTTCAGCATCCAGTGTACGAATGCTTGTATACTTGAATTAAAATATACTGTATACAGAGGGGTAGCCATAACAGATTTGTGAGACAGGAAACATTTAAACTAGAAACAACCACATTAAGGACATAAATTATAACTGCGTAACATTTGTGCAACTGTTTAAAATTTTTTAGGTCGATCTGTGTATGGGAATATGAAAATGTTGAATGACAAAAAAAAGAAATTGTAAAGCTTAGGATCCCAATATGTGCAAATTAATCCATTATATACCCACTACGTGCGAGAGTAAATTGCATAACCCAGGATTATCTGTAAAAATAATTAATGTTGCAACTAGAGTTAAAATGTTAGGGTAGCAACTTTTAATTTAATATGCATCTATATAGTATTAAATTTAAAACTTCTTGTACCTGGCAATTTGATCATTTAATGGAATTTTTTTTTAAATATGAGCCAGAATTTAAATCACTTTTAATTTGAGAAGATGATGAACTTTTTGATGAACACTGAATGCTTTCAGAGTGCTTTCTTTCCTCTCTTATCCTATATGTTCTCATTCTCATCCTCTTGCTCGATGTGTTGAGTTGGTTTTAGCAATTATTTTAATGGTTATTTTCCCTTTTTCACCCTACCCTGGGTTAATGTCTCAGGTCAGTGGCCTGTCCTGTCCCTGGTTATCCTTGCCTACAGTGTGAAATCATGACTGTATAGTTTGGTATTTGGGCCTTTCCTGGTATATTTCCAGTCTGCTTTTCCAGTCTGATGTTTTTCATTTACTCCACTGAGTGCCTCCAGTCCACCACTAACGTTCCCGGAGCATGACTTGCATTTTCTTCATTCAAACTGTTCCTACTAACTGATCACACCTCTTCTGTGGTCTGTATTCTGTGAGGGCCCAGCTGAAGTGCCATCCCTCCAAAAAGCCTTTCTCTTCAGTCCAGCTACAAATGGCTGTTCCTCAGACATCTTGATTCTGGACACGGGACATGGTTCTTTTGTTATAGTTCTGTGTGTGTCTTTGTGGTTTGTAAGATCTCTGAAGACAATAGTGGTATTTGCTCATCTCTGCATCTCTGAAGTGCAATACATAAAATACATGCTAAATACAAGATGAGGCTTACAGCCTTTAAAGAGGGTACCTGGTCCAATTTTTTGTTGTTATTTTGTTTTGGCTGTTTTCTTTGTTTTGAGAGAGGATCTTGCTATATAGAGCTGGTCTCAAAATCAGTATGTAGCTCAGGCTATCTTGAAGGGCTCATACCACTCCTAGCCAGCTTTTCATATTGAAAGTGAAAAGATTTTGAAAGGTCATACTGCAGATTGGCACAGGAACTGAAGTTGGTAAGTTTGAGAATAAAGTAGATGGAAAAGACAGTTTGCTGTGTTTGGGGGTAGTATTCTAGGGAACAGTTTAATAGAAATTTAGAGCTGGATATATGCTATGTGTCAGTTACAATTTGTGGGGGTGATTCTTCTCTGGATAGTATTGTGTTTCCACATTAAATGCTGTTATCTTGGCTAGCCCAGGTAAGAGATTATGCTGATTCAGGTTCTGATTTTGTTGATGTAAGTGTGTAATCTTGACACTTTTTGTGAGGGAAATTAGCCCCTAAGATTACTATGCAACATAGAAGTCAAACAAGAATGACTTACTACCTTTAGCTTGTTTGGCAGCTAAGGGTCACATAGGACCTGCAGTTTATACACTGCTTTTTAAAATGCGTGTGTGTGTGTGTGTGTGTGTGTGTGTGTGTGTGTGTGCGCGCGCGCGTGTGTGCTCGTGCGTGTGTGTGCACGCACATGCATGAGTGTGCATGTGTATGTATACACGTGTGTGTACAACTTCAGGGAGTCCATTCTCACCTTCCAACTTGTTGAAGCAGGACCTGGCCAGTGGTTCTCAATCTTCCTAATGTTGCGACTTTTTAATACAGTTCCTTATGTTGTAGTGACCACTAATCATAAAATTATTTTTCTTGCTGTTTCATAACTGTAGTTTTGCTGCTGTTGTGACTCATAATGTAAATATCTATTTTCTGATGGTCTTAGGCAACCACTGTGAAAGGGTCACTCTACCTGGCAAAGGAGTCATGACTCACAGGTTGAGAACCACTGCTCCAAGCTAGCTGACTCATGTGCATCTTGCTGATTCTCCTGTCAGACACATGATACTGTTTGTTTGTTTAGGTTTTTGGGAATGGGGTTTCCCTGTGTAGTCCTGGCTATCCTAGAACTCACTCTGTAGACCAGGCTTGCCTTGAACTCAGAGCACCTGCCTCTGCCTCCTGAGTGCTGGGATTAAAGGCATGCTCCTTGCTTACATAATACTATACCCAGCTTTTCCCATGGATTCTGCGAGTCATCAGGCTTCGCATAGCAAGTCTGTTCACTGACTCACTGTTGACTGAGTCATCCAGTTTGTGTGGGTTCCGGGGATCCCAACTGAGATTCTAAGCTAGGGATCTGACCTCAGGTCTTCACACTTACATGGCAAGTGCTTCACTCACTGAGGGATCTCCCCAGCCCAAGTGTGTTCCTTCTTTAAGGCTTTTGACTTGTATTCTTGTCAAAATTTGGACAGTTAGGGCAGTTTAATTGTGTACTGGCATCAGACATAGATTAGCACATTTGCTTACATTGCCTATTAAGAGACAAGTAAATTGTTCTTGGAGCAAGATCCGTACCTACAGCTGATAATCAACAAGTTGGGATTGGTTTACCTCTCTAGTAGCTTTCATAAGTTTTCCCTCTTCTCCATCTTTGCTGCTGCTTCTCTTATTCACTTTCTCATCACCTCCCACATCCGTTAGCTGCCTTCTACTTGAAAATTCTTCCTCTGATGTGCTGCAGAGTGACCTTTTTTCCTTCATGTAGTCATTTTGTTCCTTCTGTCTTCTTGGCCTTAGGAATTGGATCTAGGACTTTGTACATATTAAGTGAGTGTGTTCTACTGCTGAGTTTACAAACCCAGCTCCCAAGATACTTGTGTAGGCTAAATGTCATTGTGTCAATTCTCTGCTTAAAGACACTTCATCACTTGGCATTGCTTCTCTGGAAAAGCCTACATTTCAAGAATAGCGTAAGAGATTCTCAGCATCTGGCTTCTGTACATTTTTAGTTCTGTTTCTTACCATTCATCTTGCCCTTTCGCCATCTCTCTACCCCTCTTCAGTTAGGACCCCAATCATGACATGCTCCATGTGGTTCCTTTGAAGTATTAATACAGTATCTTATTTCTAAGTATGTTCTTGTATGCTGCTACTTCCTCTGCTTGAAACACCCTTCTAAATCATTCATTCCCGTTTTTTTCATTCAAAAAACTTAGTTCAGGGTTATTGCTCCTGGAAGCCTTATCCATATCTTACAAACTTATTTTTAACCTCTCACAGTTTCTATTCCTGTAATTTGTCTGTGTATGTGTCTGTGTCTTCTCTTAGAATGAGCTTTCTGAAGCTAAACAATAGATCATATGTGTCTCTGTAGCCCCAACACAGGCATTGAAAATAATAGATACATACTAAATGTCTAATGAGTGACTAGAAACTGCTACTTTAAAGAAAATCTTCTGAAGGAAATTGTCATTGAGCCAAGCTTTAGGTGTTAGGTTGTCTCCAGTGTGACATGGTATGAATAATATCTGTGGTGTCTCCTTTAGGGAACAGACTGATTTGTGTGTATCCATTCTGGAGAGGTTGCTCCAAGCTGCAGAGCCGGTTCACTTGGCCAGGAACCTCAGGTTTGACCTACAGAAAGGACTGACTCACCCTGATGACTCTGTAAAAACCCTCACTCTGTCCCAGGTATGGAACTTTAGTAGTAAATGCCAGAAGCACCTCACTCATTCACTTGTCAGACACTCACTCAAGTCCTCGGACATGCCAGGTGTCATGATTGCTGTTAACAAAACAAACCTTTAAGGACCTCCTATGTAGAAAATGGTTTTTAGGTGTTTAAAAGTTACTTTGCTGTGTTATATTGTATCAAAGAAGCATGTACTAAGTGTAAACTTCAGTAAGACAGTAGCTCTGATCCTGGCAGCAGGGTATCTTAGCAGCTGTGTGAAGTGCTGCTAGGGTCATGAAGGAATGATAGACATTGGCAGTAGGCTACTCAGTAGACAGTCATGGCTCTCTCTTTTCTTCTCTAAAGTGTGTATTCAGTTTGGGGCGGGCAGGGTGGTATTTATTCATTGCCCATATGTCTGCCAGAGACTGTAGCAGGCACTTTGCCTCATCTTCATTTAATCTTCTTACTGCCGTAGAATTAAAAATTGTATTCCTGTTGTGCTAAGGAAAAAATTAAGCTCAAAGAAAGTAATTTATCCAAGATTTGTGCAACTGAAAATTGACATACTAGGATTCATACTGTCTTGGCTCACCTGTCTCCACTGTTTACCCACTATTTATTTGTAGTAATTTGTGTAATAGCTGTAATAGCTACTTGTAAAAATTATTACAGACTAGAAAACTTTGACTATCCTGTGTCCATATGTTCTACTTGGGAAGAATGTCTCTGCTTTTTTTCCCCCAGATTGGAAGAATTGTTGAAAATTCTGAAGCTGTTACTGAGATTCTGAATAACGCTGAACTGTTGAAACAGATTGTTTATTGCATTGGTGGAGAGAATTTATCTGTTGCTAAAGCGGTGAGTTGACTAGAACTCTCAGCCAACTGTGCAGAGACACATTGGTGTCCTACAGACCATAGAGAGGTTTAGTGTGTGGCTTGTAGGACTAAGTGAGAAATGAATCTTCAGCCTTTGTAGATGGAGCCAGATATACAACAGTGATCCCCTTAGACATGCCTGTATCATCTGTCACACTTATGTTTGGTTGCTCAGTGTCTTCCAGTTATAAATAGCAATACCTTAAAAAATGTGAGTAACTGTTGGATTAGAGTATTCATGTACTAATTTTCACATCAGGCTTAGGAAGTAAATATAAACATTCTGTACTTTGACAAGAAATATTTTCTTTCTGTATAAGGCTATTAAATCGCTGTCAAGAATATCACTAACCCAGGCTGGACTGGAAGCTTTATTTGAAAGTAATTTGCTGGATGATTTGAAAAACGTAATGAAAATGAATGACATCGTTAGATACAGGGTATATGAGGTAAGACTAAAAGCACACTTCCCAATGCTTTCAAAACAATGTTGTAGTAAATTTATAAAGAAAGGCAAGATGGCATGCTTATATCCATTTATTGAGTACATAATCTGTGTCAGATCCTATATAATATGGTGTTCACAAGATAGGGGTGCATAAGCCAGGTGTGGTGGCACACGCCTGTAATCCCAGCACTCAAGGAGGCAGAGGCAGGCAGAGTTCTTTGAGTTCAAGGTGAGCCTGGTCTAAAGTGAGCCCAGGATAGTCAAGGATACACAGAGAAATCCTGTCTTGACCAAAACAAACAAAAAGATAAAGGGGTGCGTTCACAGCCTGATACCTGAAGCAGTCACACACAGATCCAAAGTATTTCGCTTGACAAGACACCATTGAAACAAGACTGAACAAAATGTACTATTAGGAGTAAGAAATGGCTCTTATTTCTACCAGTTTTTTTCTTGAACACTGCTAGAAACCTTACACACACTGTCATTAACTTCATTTGTGTGTTTACACTTTAGATGTGTGTGTGTGTAGGCCAGAGGTCAGTCTCTGTCATTCCTCAGGTCTACCTTGCTATTGAGACAGGGTCTCATTGGCCTGGAATCCACTGATTAGACTAAGCTGCCTGCTGGTGAGCTTCAGAGATCTGCCTGTCTTTGCCTACCAGCATTGGATGATTTGAAAAACGTGCATCCAATGCTGCACCTGGTGGTGGTTTGTTTTGAAGATTTGTTTATTTATTATTTACACAGTACTCCGCCTGCATGTGTGCCTGCATACCAGAAGAAGGTACCAGATTTCATTATAGATGGTTGTGAGCCACCATATGGTTGCTGGGAATTGAACTCAGGACCTTTAGAAGGGCAAACAGTGCTCTTCACAGCTGAGCCATCTCTCCAGCCCACATAACTAACTGCATTTTTACTGTTGCCCCACATGCATGCTCAAGCTAAATTGCTGATCATCTGTCTGTTCACTCTGTGCTGGGTCCTAGGCCTTGAGCTCTCTCTTTACAGAGGCTCCTCCTCATTGTGTTTCCATCCCATCTGCTTTCTTGAAGTTGTATGTGTATGGCTCCTTGCTGGCATAGCTACTACCACCCTAGGCCAACTCAGCACTGTCACTTTCTACTGTATTTGCATCCAAATTTTTCTTCATTTTTACCATCCTTAGTTTCTCTTAAATGTAATCAGTATTATTTCCCTAAATTTATATCTTAAATGATACATCAAATCGTGTGCATTTGTCATGTACAGCATGATGTTTGTATCATATGTAAGAATGATCATTAGGCCAGTGAAACAGCCTGATAAGTGAAGGAACTTGCTGCCAAGCCTGATGACCTGAATTTGATCCTCAGAACACTTACGGTAGAAGGAGTAACCAACTCTCACAAGTTGTTTTCTGCTCCTACCTCCTTCATACAGGAACCTTCCTCCACAAAATAAATAACTAAATGAAGATGTAAAAAAAACAAATATTTCTGATTGTACTACTTCTCTGTTTAAAACCGTTCAGTATCCTCTGTCTTTCAGGACATCCTTGTCAAATGAAGATGTGACAGATACTTGGATATGTTTTTGTTGTTTGTTTTGTTCTGTGGTAGATAGTTACGGGCCTTGCACATCGTAGGGAAGTCCTCTACTACGGGAGGAGGGCTGTAACACTTTGAAGGAATTGTTCTTATGTTTGTTGCTAGTGCAGGCTTTTATGTCCTGACTAGTGCTTTTTTGGTGGAAGGTATACATTCACCTAGATCCGACGGAATACTTCTCCACCAGAGTAATATGTTTTATATTCAATGAAGTTTTCCTAGAAACAAAGCATGACTTGTTAAGAGCTCAATTATGCTGGGCAAATTCAGGACAACCAACGCTACACAGAGAAACCGTTTCAAAAAACAAAACAAACAAAAATTCAATTATATATATATATTTATATATAGTACATAGTTCTGCATTTAATGTAAATGGCATCTAACAGATTTGGACCTGTTCTGACCTTTTTTGTTTCTGTTCTCTCAGCTAATTATAGAGATCTCTTCTGTGTCTTCAGAGTCTTTAAACTACTGTGCCACAAGTGGATTGGTGGCCCAGCTCCTGAAAGAGCTGACGGGTGAGGATGTGCTGGTCAGGTGTGTATGTGGGGAGAATTCTTTGAGTGAAATGCCTTTGTTGGAGGGCAGGAAGCAATTGTGGGACTTAGTGTGGTTTTCTGTGCTGTTGGAGACTGTACACAGCTTACAATCTCAGTTCTGCTGTTATTTTTCAGGAAGCATTTTAGGAAATTGCTTGTTTTATCATGACAATATGTTGAGTTTGGTAAAACCCTGCAAGATGTTTTAGCTATTTTCAAATGAACACTTCCCCTGTCCCCAGGCAAGTGTGCTATTTGATTAATGTGTTTCTATATATGTAACTTAAATTGTTGTGAATCACTTTGATATCTGCCATTTTTAATAACTTAACATCTTATCAAGTGGTATTATCAAGCAGAAGCACTGTGACATGATAGAAGAAATACAGTATTTTTAAAAGAACAAAGACTTGAGCTTCATAGCTCTTAAACCTGTTAACTGTTTGACCTTGGACAGATGACTGTAGCATTTCTGTACCTCAGTTTCTCATTTACCGAAACACGAGGGATTGAACTCAGGTCTTATGCATGTCAGGCAATCACTGTACCACTGAGCTATGTCCCTACCCCGTTTACTTTTTTTTGTGATAGGGTCTCACCCAGCTACCCAAGCTGGCCTTGAGCCCATATGTAATCCAGGTAAGTCTTGAACTTGTAATCCTCCTGCCTCAGCGTATTGAGTAGTTTGAAATTACAACCCTGTGCCACCGTGTCTAATGACCGCAGTTTTTTTGTTGCTAAGAATAACAGTCTTATAAAGAAGAGACCAATATAACGACTGACAAGGGTCCTTGATGACTGTTAGCTGTGTCTCTTAGAGCTCCTGTTGTCCCCTTAATATTGCCCAGTGTTTACTATATTTAGCTACATTCTCACTGCTGAGCACTTAGTCTAAGTGCTTTGCTGTTATAATAGCATTTATAATTGCCATCTCTGTGTATAGGTATTTCTGGTATTAAATGACTTTCTGGTTGTATCTTTTGTACTATGACTGGATTTGTTAAATCTGTATGTATAACTGATTGTTACACATACACTAGTTGTTTTCGTTTGTGTATATGTTTGTTTGGGCTTTTTTTTTTAATATTTATTATGTATACAGTGTTGTGCCCACATATGTGCCTGTGCACCAGGAGAGGGCACCAGATCTCACTATAGAGTGTTGTGAGCCACCATGTGCTTGATGGGAATTGAACTCGGGACCTTTGGAAGAGCAGCCAGTGTTCTTAACCTCTGAGCCATCTTTCCAGCCCTTACTATGTAGCATTGGCTATCCAGGAACTCAGTATACTCTAGAACAGGCTGGCTTCAAACTCCCGGAGATCTGTCTGCCTCTTCCTCTCTCCCACTCAGTACTGGGATTAAAGGCGTGCACCACCACCTGTTCCTGCACTTTCCTATCTTAATCAAATGAACAAGGACGGAGGTCAGGTGCTAAGCTTAGCCTCAGCTAAACACGTTATATATCGGAGCTGAGTGCCAGGTGGTGCTGAAGGCTTACTAATGTGTGGTAGTGGCGTTTCTGTGTGAAGCAGTGTTGCTGCTTTTACAGATGTGTGTGGGTAAATGGCAAGATGGCAAGCTTTCTTTAAAATAGTTTAATGGAAAATAAGATTAAAATAAATGTGATAATTCTAAAAATAGAGTTATGACTGCATGGTAACTCCTACTACTTTTTGTATCTATTTGTTACTTTAAAATAAAACATTTTAAAAAATCTCTTAGGATACAACTATGTTATAGAAATAGTATTGGGTCTCCAGTCAGGCCAGGCCTCTCCAACTCCACCTTAATCGGTGATTCCAAGTAAGCTAGGAAAACCATGTTCTTGTATTTGAAGAGAGAGCCAGGACTATGGGCCTTTCAGATTTGGTAAAAAGAAATAAGATATAACCCATGTGAAAGCAATATTAAAATGCTCTTCATTTTTGTCCTTTTTGACTTTAGAGCCACCTGTATAGAAATGGTGACATCACTAGCATATACCCATCATGGCCGACAATACCTTGCTCAAGAAGGAGTCGTTGACCAGATCTCCAATATACTTGTTGGAGCAGAGTCGGACCCTTTCTCTGGCTTCTATCTGCCAGGTGAGAGCAGCTGTTCCGATGGCTGAGTTACAGTGGTTCCTGAAGGGTAGGGATTACTCTCCTCCATGCTTCCTTTACAAGACAGCTGTAGCCACTATCAGCGGTACAGCGAAAGGATCATGGGTCACGACTGAGTGATTTCCTGAATCCAAGTCAATAAATATACCAGATTACTAACGTGAAGGACAGAAAACATACCAGCAGTACCAAATGTATTTGATAAAAATTCACCATTCTTTTACTTCAACAGTGCAATTAATTAGTTGTAAAAGAGATGCATTTTAACATAGGACAGGCCATGAGTGACAACCCCACAGCTGATGATGTGCTCAAGTGTGAGAAGTTGAAAGCCTTTCCTTTGATCAGGAGCAGGGTCTCTCTTACCACTTCTGTTCAGTGTAGTATGGGGAACCCTAGAACACGCTGGTAAGAGAAAAAACAAAAGTCTTCTAAATCTACAAGGAAGACATGAAATTGTTCCTGTTTGTAGGTGTGTAGACAGTGTGGTCTTACATGCAAAATACTTCATAGACTCCACCAAAAAAAACTGCCAGAGCTAAGAAATGAATCCAGTGAAGTTTGCAGAATCATCAGCAGCATACTGTTGATTGGTAGCCTTCTAACAATGAGCTTCCAACAGAGAGCTCAGGGAAACGCTGTCATCGTGATAGCATCTGAAAAAAGAGAATAGTTGGTGATTAGGTCACCATCTTATTCCCAGAAAGACACACAGACTAATAGGACAGAACCGAGGACTCATATATATATATATACACACACACACACACACAATCCATGCCCAAAACATACAGTGGAAAGCACATTATTTTTAGGAAATGATGCTGAAAGATAAAACTGTATGAGGAATGAAAGTAGACCATCACGTCATAAAATTCAACACAGTGTGATTAGGGACTGAAATGTAAGATGTGAAACTGAAGCTGCTGGAAGAGAACATACTGGGGAAAGCTTCAGACTTTAGTCTGGACCAAGGTGATTGTGAATATGCTGCTACTCAAAGCACAGGCAAGGAAAAAGAAACAAATATAATTGCATTAGACAGAAAGGCATCTGCTCAGGTAAGGAACAATCACCGGAGTGAAGAAGCAATCTGGAATTAGAAGAATGTTTATAAACAGTGTCTAGGGAAGAGTCCAAGTCCAGAATATAAGGTAAGCAAACAAATTAGTATCAAGAAAACAACCCAGTTTAAAAGGTTTAAACAAACCAGTTTAAAAAGCAAAGGACTTGAATTACACAAAAGACATTCTATAGCTGCCCGATAGTAAATGGAAAGACATCTGCAGTGCTGGACAAGCAAATTTAAACCACTGAGGACACTCATTTCACACCTGTTAGAATGATCTGTATCAGAAAGCCAAAAGGTGAGCTGGGTGTGGTGGTGCACGCCTTTAATCCCAGCAGAGGCGGCAGTCTCCTTGAGTTTGAGGCCAGTGTGGTCTACAAAGCAAACCCAGGACAGCCAAGGCTGCGAGAGGTGAGTGTATGGAACAGAAAAGTGTATTGTTGATGAGAAAGTAAATTAGTGCAATCGTGGAAAACCGGAAGGTCTTTAAGACAGACTATGATCTGGATCCCTTTTGGATATGTGGCCAAAGGAAATGAAACCAGTGTGCTGCAAGGCTGTCTGTCCTCCCACATTCACTGCAGCGTTTTCAGTGAGCAAGATCTGGGATCGACCAGACATGTCTCAGTGGATGCACAGATAATGTAAACTATAGCACAGTGGGAAGCTACTCAGCCTCAAAAATAAAGAGATCTTGTCATTTGCACACTGGCTGAACCTGAAGAACACAGTGAATTAATTGAGTGCCGTACGATCTTCTTTACAAGTATAATTTAAAAAAAGCTGAACTCAGGAAAATGTTAGTGATCATAGGAAGTGTTAGGGTTATTTGTGTAGATGTTAGAATAGTCAAAGCACCAGAAAGAGGTACAACGTGATAACTGTTAACAGTGTATTGTGTCCTTAAGTTTTCTTAGAATAAATTGTGTTTTCACTCCAAACAGAAAAAAAAAATAATACATATGTTGATTTGCTTAATTTGTCCATTACACAGTACAGATATATTTCCAGGCATGATATATATATCTATATATAATGGCTGTGTACAGTTTTTTACTTGTTAGTCTTAAAAGTTAGTTTAAACAAAAAGACGCTGGGAGCCCTTTAATGAGGTGGAATCTGCTGTGCCAGGGACAGTTGCACTATTGACTGATGTTATGAAAACATGGGCGCTCTTCAGAGCAGTTGATAGTTTTCTTCAAAAGTTCAGTGAGAACCAGACATGGTAGCCCCACGCACTTGGGAGGGAGAGGCAGGCAGAGAACTCAAGAGAAACCCTGTCTTGAAAAACAAACAGAAGTAAATCAAAATACTGATAATGACATTTATCGTGTTCCAGATCCATGTAGCCTTTAAGGTAGGAGTCACTCCGCCCATTTCATTCCAGGACAGGTTGATTAGTCTTTCTCGAACACTTGTAGTAGCTGGAAGTTTATACTCCTTGAGGTAGTCTGCTGTGTTTCATTAATGAACATACCTGCTTAACAGTTTCTGCCAGTGAGTTCTTCAAGCTTGCCTTCCTGTCATTGGTATCCATCCGTGTACGTTTCTCTTTCTACCTCTTCATCTCCCCCCTCTCCTCCCTCTTTCTTTTCCTCCCTTCTTACTTCCCTCTCTCAGTCCCTCTTCTTCTCTCTGTCCCCTTCATTCCATTCTCTCCGTCCCTGGCTATAAATCAGTGTATAACGTGGCTGGCTTGAAACTCAGAGATGTTCCTCCACCTCTCCTCCCAAGCTCTATTGACACCTTGGGGTCTTTGCTGTCAGAATCCCACATCTTAGGAGTCTTTCGGTTTCCTTACTGGCTCTCCTGTAGGCAGCACAGTGCTTGTCTCTTCCTCCTGGCCTACGGTTTATTAATGTTCCTGGGAAAACATAGGCCCCATTTGTACTGTCTTATCCCTCTGCTAACGTCTGTATTTTTAAATATCTTTAGGATTTGTGAAGTTTTTTGGAAACCTGGCTGTCATGGATAGTCCTCAGCAGATCTGTGAGCGCTACCCTGTTTTTCTGGAAAAAGTGTTTGAAATGGCGGACAGTCAGGATCCCACCATGATTGGTGTAGCTGTAGACACAGTTGGAATCCTGGGATCCAATGTTGAAGGAAAACAGGTTTTACAGAAGACAGGTTGGTATGACTTGTCTTGACTTTTGCAAGGTGTGTTTTCATTTTGGGCCAGGATTCTGTGTTCAGGTCCATCAGGTGGGTTAACTGTTATAGAAGCTAATTCTATGGGCAGCAGTCTTTATCCCTGACATGACTCATCTCTCAGAGTCTCATGGTTCCTCCTGAAACGCTGTGGCTTTTACTCCTTGTCATAGCCAACAAGAACCGCAGTGTGTGCTGCTAACATCATCCCAGGCTGCTTTTTATGGCATAGCCCATGTTGTGTCCTCATTCCACACTGATAGAAACTGTATGAATTTCATTCACATCACTTCTAGGCCTCACTTGCCTCATTTAGCACAACAGCAACTTCTTCGGGGTTTTGAATGTTTCATAAGCACGAGTAGAGTCAGAAAAGAAAATTTCATGTCAAGAGTTTATATTAAGAAAGATACATTTACGGTATGTCCTTGAGTGTATACTTGCACAACAAATCTCAGTACAGAAACCACAGTGCTGTTTTGAAGCACTTGTGAAGTGTAAGTTGAGAATTGGTACACTGCACACTACGGTGACTGCAAGGTCTCATATATTTTCTAAGTTCTTTCACCTGTGGCATACTCTTCTCGGCCCCAATAGAGCAGCCATTGTCCTTCTCTGGTAAGGCAGCAGAAACTCAGGAGTTAGGAGGCTCTTCCGGGCCTTTGAATCCATCCTCTACACCCTTGTTTTACCCTGCTGTATTGGATGTACCTGTGTTGCAGGTCTGTTGTGCACTTTATTTTGCGGTTTAGGTTGATAATCATAATGCGTGAAAGTATAAATTGCCTTTTCAGTTCACGCCCATTAGGATGGCCCCTTTTTTGTTGTTTTAATATCAGAAGTGTTCAGATGTTGAAGAACATCTGAACTGTGTTTTCTGACCAGAATATGGTATGAAATGGTATAATTGCTATGGAAGACAGTATGGAAATTGCACAGAAATACTAAACATAGAATTAACGTAAGAGCCAGCAATTCAACTTGTAGGTATAAACAAAACAATATGGAAAGCATGGGCTCAAGCAGGTGTCTGGGCACTCCTATTCATAGCAGTGTTAGTCTACTCAAAATGATTGGAAACAACCCAGTGTCCATCGATGAATAAGTGAATATGATATCTTACTTATCAAAAGTGTGAAATTGTGACACAAGCTATAGCACAGAGGAAGTTTGAAGGCCTTTTGGGAAAAGAAGAAAGCAAGGCATGGAAGATGGATACTGCATGATTTTACAGCCAAGATTATCTTAAGCACATATGGAGGTCAAATTCATAGAGACAAAAAGTAGAGAGTGGATACCAGGCCTGAGAGGGGGTGGATTTTTTACTGGGTGCAGAGTTTCAGTCTGGGTTGCTGGAGAATCTCTGGAGATGGGGATGGTGATGGTTGCATAGCAGTGTATTTACAGTATTAACTGTTTAAGATGATTCAAATGGTAGGCTTTGTGTTAATGTCACCACTATCCTTCACAGGATCTCGCTTTGAGCACCTCCTTGTGAGAATAGGATATCAAGCAAAGAATGCCTCCACAGAGCTGAAAGTTAGATGCTTGGATGCAGTTTCCTCTCTTCTGTATTTATCAGTAAGTAGATAGAAAAATTAATGAAGGGCAGGGGGGTATGTTTATGAGGATCAGTCAGAATTGCACTAGTCAGTTTAGTATAATGTTCTCATGGGTGCTTCTCACTCTGGTTAAGGTGGTAACCTGGTGGCACACACCTTTAATCCCTGCCCTCAGGGAGGCAGAGGCAGAAGGATCTGAGTTCCAGGCCAGCCAGGGCTACATAGAGAAATCCTGTCTCAAAAAAACAACAGAGCTGGGCAGTGGTGGCAAACACCTTTAATCCCAGCATTCAGAAGGCAGAGGCAGGCAGATCCCTGAGTTTGAGGCCAGCCTGGTATACAAAGCAAGTTCCAGGACAGCCAAGGCTACACAGAGAAATCCTGTATTGGGGAGGTGGGGAGGATAAGCCTTCACTATGTGACTAGCAGCATGAAAAAATTTTAGGGATATTTTTTATTCTTCAAGAGTTTCATACATGTATACACATTTATGACTGTATCCACTCCAATGCCCTCCTCCCAACTTCATAACTGTCTTTCTTCCTCCTTTCTTCCCCTTCCTTCCTCCTTCCCTCTCTTCCTCCTTCCCTTTCTCCCTCCCCCCTTCCTTCCTATTAAGTCCAGTTAGTGCTGCCGGTATGCACATGGGTATGAGGTCATGGTCACGCTTGCCAAGACTGATCCTCCCCTGGCTGCTGTCAAATGCCTGTAGGTCTTCCTTAGCCATATTGGAATTTTGGCTAGCTTAAACTTGTGCGGTTACGACAGCTTCTGGAGTTAATGAGTGTAGCTGACATGCTATTACACGGCATTTCTCCCCATCTTCCAGCTCTTACGTTCTTTTTGTGCCCTCTCCTGCAGTGTTCCCTGATCCTTGGAGAGCAGGGGTTGACACACTTGTCTTACTTTAGGCTGAGCATTTAAGTCACTACTTCCCAGTAACCATTGCCCCCTGAAAAAAAGAAGCATCTCCAGCCAAGGCTGAAAGCTGCACAAATCTATAAACAGGACCAGCTCGCAAAACTGCAATTGTAGATTTCCCTCTAAGACCTGTGACTCCCTCAGCCATGGGCCTTTTTATTTTAATTATTTTATTTTATTTTATTTTTATTTTATTTTATTTTATTTTATGTGTATGCGTGTTTACTTGGATATATTCCTGTGCATCACTTGTGTGCAATGCTCATAAAGGCCAGAAGAGGGCATTGGATCCTCTGGAACTGGAATTACAGGTAGTTGTGAGCCTCCATGTGGGTGTTGGAAATCAAACTAGGTCCTTAGGAGCATTCAGTGCTCTTAACCTCTAAGTCATCTTTCCAGACCCCAGCTATGGTGTTTTGGCAAGGTTTACAGAAGCATGAATTGTCCTGTGGAGCAGCCTCAGATCTAATCAGGGGAGGTTGATTCTCCCCATAGCGGTCATTGCGCTCTGCAACAGTCAGCACATCTCTCATTGCAAGTCAGAATTGCAGCATTCAGTCCAGGACTGGGGAAGAACACTGATGTCCTTTCTCCCTGGAACACTTCGTACCACTTTATGGTACTATGGAAGCTAGCCAGCTGAGACGAAGTTTCCTAGTCATTGATTTCTCTGTCTTGCAATCAAAGTATGGGTGTTTCAAGATTAGTGTTGCCATTTAGTTATAGTGGGCAACCAAGAGCAGTGGACATAGCCTGTTTTATTGGGGGGAGGCCTCTCTGGATGTCCCAATTAACTTATGGGGGTTACTGAGATTTTTATTTAATAACCCATTTCCTCTGGAACAGCATTGTCCACTTATGTAGGGTTCAAATTCCCTTAGAGGCGGGGACTTTTTTAGTTGGTTAGCATGCTCATAACCACTCCCCACCTCCTAAGGTTTATTTAGTATTGTGCATGAGAGAAGGGGGGGGATACGGGAGAAGTGTAAATGTGGGCACACATTTCATAGTACAGATGTGGAGGTCAGAGGACAACTTTCCGTCCTCTTCTACTTTTATCTAAGACCCAGGGAGTTAACTCAGGCATCAGGCTTACATAGCAAGGGCTTTTACCCACTGAGCCATCTGAACAGTTCAGTTGTTGATATTTTAAATCTAAAATAGAATCACAGAGTAATAGGACTAGAAAAATCTTAGGGATTCTTTTCATTTGGTTTTTTGAGACAGGGTTTCTCTGTGTAGCCCTGGCTGTGCTAGAACTCATTCTGTAAACCAGGCTGACCTCGAACTTATAGAAATCTGCCTGCCTCTGCCTCTCTGAGTGCTGTGATTAAAGGTATGTCCCCCCGCCGCCACCACCCCAGGCCCCTAGAGTTTATTTCATCCCCTCCAACAAAAACGGAAATTTTCTGGACTGGATGAGTTTTCAAGGGTGGCTCACAGAATGCCATTTATTTAACTTACAGCTGCCTGCTTTTTTGCAGGTGTAGTTACCTTATCATGAGCATTTCCCTTTCTGTCTTGTAGCCTGAGCAGCAGACTGATGACTTCCTAAGGATGACAGAGTCCTGGTTTTCTTCCTTATCTCGAGACTCTCTGGAATTCTTCCGTGGCATCAGTAACCAGCCCTTCCCAGAACTACACTGCGCTGCCTTGAAAGTGTTCACAGTATGTATTCTCTTCTCTAAAGATCCTTCTGTGCCTGTCGGCTCAACACAGCACTGAGAATGACCTAGCCACTGTGTGTACACACAGCATTTTCTGCCCCTGCTACTTCAAGGGCCCTTGAGGGAGACATACTGTCTGTAAAAGGTCTTCTGTACTGTCTGAGGTTTGAACAAGCTCCTATTGGGTCACAGATTAATCCCAGCTCGGCCTCTGGCTTGTTTCTTCCCCGAGCCTTATTTCCTGTGTTCCCTTCCAGCCGTTAGTGCCAGGTCATGCCAGTCTGCCGGTCTCTTATCTCTGACCTTTGCTGTGCTTTCTGACCTCAACACTCTTTGTCAGTTTTATTTATGAATGTGTTATTTATTTAAGAGGTAGCCCCAAAACACTTTACCTAAGTCTATACAGTGGAGTTAAATGATATTGGTTCTCATATGTGATATTTTCATTCAACAAACACCGAGTTTTTCCCCCTACCCTGTTAGATGGTGGGCCTTTTCTGAGACTTCCTGGGGAGCCAGACCATAAGTATAGTTATAAAGTTGGTTATAAAACTGTAGCTAAGGTAAGCATTATACTGCATGCCTTATGTTGAAAACGTGTATTGACTCCTTCCTTCTGCTGTTAAGCCAAGTGTCTGTTTACCTTCTTAGCCCTAACACACTGAGTGTGCCAGTGGCCCCTGGCTAAGCGTGATCATATCAATAGTCTTAATCACAGGATCCAGGCAGCACATAGACCACGCTGAGAGGAATGAGAGAGGAAGATTTCCTGAAGCAAATCTTGAAGAGCATGGGTAGTATTACTGTTATCTTACAGACTGCCAATTTCTGGCTAAAATAATACAGCTTTCAAAGTGTCTTCGGGTACTTTACCTTGGAAATAGTCATCTGCATTGATGTCACAGGGTGTTAGTTCTGTCTGCTCCCTGATATCTGAGTTAGTTGCTGGGGTAGATGCTGCTGGCCTGAAGAATGCATTTTGGGAGAAAGAAGCTAGGCTACAAGCCTATTAACTGTAATAATGAGCTTTTGTGACACATGTAAGCTGCTGACTCATCATTTTAAAAGTTGAGAAAGACTGAAAAATAGGAAGTTTAAGTCCAGAGGAAAGTGCTTACTGTATGCTCATCACCTCTGCCTAATCCCATTCGCTTTTTTGTCCCCAAGTCTGATGACTGTCCTGGAGGCCGAGTGTAGAGGATGCAGGGCTCACAGGCCAGTGCTGGTGGATCTACAGCATGCAGTGCAGAGCGTGTTCCTAAACTTTGGTTTAAAAGAGGCCATTAGAAAACTGACATGCCATTGGCCAGTCACAACGCGTCATTTTCCCGCAAGTGAAGATTCATATGACTCTGTTAGGAATGATACTGCAGTGAACATTCTCCAAAAGGATTATCTTGTGTACAAGTTTAAGAGTCTCTCTGCCTGAGGTGGTGGCATACTTATTTAATCCCAGCACTTGGGAGGCAGGAGCAAGCAGGTCTCAGAGTTTGATGCCAACCTAGTGTACAGAGTGAGTTTCAGTACACCAGGGCTACACAGAGAAACCGAGTCTCAAAAAATGGGGGAAAAATAGTATCCCTGAAGGAATGTTGTCTTTTTTTTTTTTTTTTTCCGCTCTTTATTTTTGCTGTATTTTAGTGTCTAGAAGTTGGGTTTTCAGTCTGTGCGTTGCTACCCTGTTGGCAATCTCTTTCTCCAAAAACATTTGCATTGCAATTCATAACAGTAGCAAAATTACAGTTATGAAGTAACAACAAAAATAATTTTATGGTTGGGGTCACCACAGCATGAAGAACTGTACTAAAGGGCTGAAGCATTAGGAAGGTTGAAAACCACTGTTCTACGTCTTTCACGTGGTAGATTTGTTCGTGCTGTTAGGTGTTCCTTAAAAATAAGTCTTAAGTCGTTTCAGTGAATTATAATTTACTTAGCTAGGCCCATTATTAGACATCTAAAGCTTTTATGTTGTGAACATCCTTGTATACAAAGTTGGTTGGTTGGTTGGTTGATTGGTTTTTCAAGACAGGGATTCTCTAGTGTAGCCTTGGCTGCCCTGGGCTCCCTCTGTAGACCAGGCTGGCCATCTGCCTGCCTCTGCCTCCCTGAGTGCTGGGGTTTCAGGTGTGCGCCACTTCACCCAGCTCATTTATAGAGTTGTAAAAATATGTTTCTGAGAAGCTTGTTTCCTTGAACAAAGGGAAATGCTTTTATGGTTTGTGCTCCACGTGTGTCTCTTGAGTATTGTGTTATTCACTCATGAACTCACCTTCTTAAGGCCCAGGTGAATTGTATTCTCTTTCTACCTTCAATTTCAGGCTATTGCAAACCAGTGTTGGGCTCAGAAACTTATGTTTAACAGTCCAGGTTTTGTGGAATTTTTGATGGACCGGTCTGTGGAACATGACAAAGCTTCAAAGGATGCCAAATATGAACTAGTAAAAGCACTTGCCAATTCCAAAACAGTTGCAGAAATCTTTGGGAACTCAAATTATTTGAGGCTCAGAACTTACTTAAGTGAAGGTCCCTACTATGTGAAACCTGTTGCCACGACAGCAATAGAAGGAGCTGATTGATTTCTCTCCGTGTGAGACAGAGGACCATGACTTAACCAGATGATTCCATCTGGGTTTCAGAAAGCAGGGACGTCCCTGCTTTCCCAGAGCTATCATGGAGTGTCTTAATACAGCCTTAGTATCAGCAGTGTTCCAGCTTCCGTGCCATGTGGACCAGGCAGCTAGACTGCAGAGAAAACTGCGGCATGGTTATGAGAGCTCAGTGCTCTTCCAAGTCTTCTGGTTGCCACAGTCTTTGCTGCAAGGTCAAAGGTTTGTTTTCTCAGAAAGTTTCCATGCGATCAACTCGTGACCTCATTTAAAAATAAAATGAAGCCAAAATGATTCTAAATTCTCTTCACTTTTTATTTTTCCTTATCTGATTCCACCTCAATATCTTGGGTAGTCTCTGAAAAATAAGTCATTTGGAATCATTGAATTATAATATTTGTATACAAGGAATAAATAGTTTTAAAAAGATTTCTTGTTTACTTTTCCTTTGAAAATAAAATAAATCTCTGAAAATTGTTTGGCTCTGGTACTTTTGCTGTTTATCAGTTTTGTGATGGTGTGGTTACAAGAAAGGGAATGTGATAGTGCCTTAGCCAGAAAGTTTTCTTAACTATCATTTTATTTATTGGTGGGTCATCAATAAATTGAGGGCTTGGAAGATAACTTTTCAGATCCATAACGTCTTTTCTTGAGGGGATCAGAGAGATACTGTGACTCCTCATGTCCAGAATCAGAATAGGGAGGCATCATGTACAAACTAAGATGCCATCTCATTGATTTACAAATTATTATTCTTCGCCTGTTTCCCAGCGGTATTCTCTAAACAGCAAAGCTTTCTACAAATGAAATCTGTTGTCCAGAAGTTTCTGCATGAGCTTGCCAGTGATGCTTTAGAACCAGGAAGTGTCTTTTAGGCTGCGGTGAGATTGACAAATCATCCCTTCCCGTATCATGATTTTCAAGTGACTGGAATCCTGGTCGAGTTGCATCATTTGTCTTTTTCCATACTGAGATTTTTCTACTGCCAATATCACAAACCATACTATAGCCAGATATTTCCTGCCATGAAGTATTCAATGTGGCTTTTGCTTTAATGAAATTTATGATGTTGTTTTTCTTCCTGTTAACTTTTGATTGCGGTAAATAAATATGTATGTATATACATGTATTTCATGTGGTGAAATAAAATATTGTAAATGTACTTTTCTATGGTCTTATGTATGTAGATGTTGTACAGTGTTTACTGCTGTCTGTTTCCAAAACTGTCTTACTTTTCAAAACTAAAAATCATGCTCATTAAATAGTAATTCCCCCTACCCTGCCAACACTATCCTGTCATGTTGACTTAATTATTTAACCTCAAGATTCAGAAAGATGAAGAAATCCTCTAGGATTTATCTAGAAAAAGAAACAATCTTAACTCAGTCAGACTAGTGGAAAATGTATGCTCGGGGAGAGAAAAATAAAATAAGTGAAAGATTGAAGACAATTTATGGGACTTATAGGACAGCATTATGAGAGCAAGTCTTGAAATTATAGGAGGTCCCATAGTGAAATAGACCAATTCCTTTAAAGAAACTATCTTAGGAAACTTTACAAACTTCAGGGAAGATATAAATGTCCAGATGCTGGGGTTATGGTGATGTACACCTGTTATCCCAACTCTTAGAAGACTGAGGCAGGAGGATCACAGTTTCAAGACCAACCTGGGCCACGTAGCGAAGTCTTGCTCCTTCCTGCCCGTCCAGAACTAAATGTCCACACTGCTATCTAGATGCTGTACTTAATCTCCATTTAGTATGTTGTTAGAAATAAAATCTGGTGGTTCATTTTCAAAGGTGCCTTGAGCCAGCCGCAAGTGAACAGGAAATACTAGACCTCTGCTGGTTTCTACTAGTTGGGCTATTCCTGAAAGTTTGCTCAGCTAGACACACCAGGTAGAAGCTTGAAATAGAAAATTGCACCCGACCTTGCCTGCAGTGTCATGTTCCTAATAAGCTTTAAAAAAAAAAAAAAAAGGATTTAAAACAAGTGAATCCACATGCGTGTTTTGTTGAGAAAGACAATCTTGAGCTACAGAGGGAAAGTAAAATCCAGATGGCATGTAAGACTGCACCCTCTTGATTATTCAAAAAGGAAGGGTCATGTGTCATCCTAGAATGACACCCAACTTTGCAAGAACATAAACTGTGTCACTTTGGCTTCTCTGAGTCACCAGTGCTCTTCGTGTGTTTTGTTTTTTGTTTTTTTTGTTTTTTGTTTTTTTTTTTTTGAGACATAGTTTTTCTGTGAAGCCTTGGCTGTCCTAGGCTCACTCTGTAGACCAGGCTGATACTGAACTAAAATCTGCCTGCCTCTGCCTCCCTGAGTGCTGGGATTACAGGCCCACACCACCACACTGGGCTGTCACCAGTGCTCTTACTGTGAAGTGAGAATCATTTCTCACATTTAAGGAATCTATCAAAATCCCAATGACACTTCTTACCAAAATAGAAAAAAGACTGTAAATCATGTGGATGCAAAAAAAATCCCTAACTATATCAAGCAAAAAAAAAAAAAAAAAAAAAAAAGTTGGCTGCATCACATCACATGACTTCAAAATGACTCCAAAACATCATGGGCCTGTCATGGGAAGATACATGGATTAGTAGCACACAACGCTCAGAAATAAAATATAAAAGTTTATGGTCAATAGCCAAGAAGCCATGAACACAACGCTAGAGTATATTTTCCTTAGTAAATTGTGGTGGAAAAACAGTATCTACACGTGGAAAGAAAAAAATTAGACATTCAACCCACAGCACATACAAAAATGTCGCAACAGAGTAAAGCCATAAACATTACATTGGAAATGTTAAACTACCAGAATAAACTAAGGAAAGCTTGCCAGCACTGATGTGGGTGGATGTGTTTTGATATGATTCATAAAACAGGCACAAACATGCAGACGAGACCATGTCAAAGTAAGAAGCTGCATAGCAAAGATTCAGACTCAACAGTGATATGGCTGGAGAGGTGGCTCAGCACTGGCTGTTCTTGCAGAGGACCTGGGTTTGAGTCCCAGCATTCACATGACAGCTCACACCTGTCTGTAACTCCAGTTCCAGAGGACCTGATTGTCTCAGAGATAAATGCAGGCAAAACACCAATGAATATAAAATTAAAATAAATTAGAAAAAAAAGAATCTACAGTAATGAAAAGACCTGCAGAATAGGAGAAAATAACCCTGTCATCTAGGAGGTTAATAATATATGAGAGGAAAAAATAAGTGTGTGTATGTGGAATTCAATAACAACAACAACAACAAAAAAAAAAAACAGTTAAAAACCAAATGACGTATCTTAAAAGAAGACACACAAATGTCCAGGCACAGAGATGCAATTGGTTAGTCCCAGCTATTTAGAGGCCAAGGTAGGTGGGCCCAGAATTCACGACCATCCTGGGCAACCTAGCATGACCACATCTCAAAAGAATCCACAAAAACTAAAGCCACAAATAGCCAAGGTACGTGAAGAAATACCATGACTAGCTCTCAGGGAAACGTGAATTAGATCTACAGTGAGATAACACTTTCTCCCTATTGGAGAGGCTAGTGTAACAAGGACAAAAGATAAATGAGGATGTGGAGAAAAAGGCAGTCCTTGCACACCACTGGAACATGGTGCAGCCACCATGGAAAACAATGTGGCAGTTCCTCAAAAGTTGACGTTAGACCTAGGCACACGGGTACCAGTCCAGAAACTCTCCCTTCTGGATATATTCTGAGAGGACATAAAACCAGGATACTTACACTACTACAGTCATTGTAACATTCTTCACAATAGTCAAAGTCTGTAATCACCCTTAGGGGCCGTCGATGGATGAGCAGATGAAATGTCATCAGGGCTGGGGGCTCACTCGGCAGGCAAAGGGATCTTCTGCTAAACCTAATGGCCTCAGTCTGGTCTCCATGACCACAGGGTGGAAGGAGAGAGCCCCCCGATCGTTCTCCTGTGTGCTTGTGTGCACATGAGAGTACCCATCACACACACACACACACACACACACATGCACATGCACACACACACACACACACACACACGCACACAATTTAAAAAGAAGAAAATGTGGTGGCTGGTAAGCCACAAGGGAATACTATTCCCCTTTAAGAAAGAACTATCACTGGTGGCTCATGCTTTTGATCCGAGCACTCAGGGGGCAGAGGCAGGCAGATCTCTGTGAGTTCAAGGCCAGCCTGATCTACAGAGTTCCAGGACAGCCAGGACTACACAGAGAAACCCTGTCTTACAAAAAAAAAAAAAAAAAAAAAAAGCAAACAAACAAACAACACCCCCTCCCCAAAAAAAAGGGAGAAAGAAAGGAAGAAAAGAAAGAACTGTCATTTGCACCAACACAGAACAAGGAGAACCTCATGGTAAGTGAAAACAGTCCAAGCACAAAAGACAAATAACCATATTTTTACTCACATATGCAGTGTAAAAATGCCAAACACAGTGAAATAATGGTTTCTAGATTCTGGTAGGTGGGCAGAGGGTTGTCATTCAAGGGACCAAACAAATTCAGTTTGAGAGGAATAAGTTCAGGAAATCTATTATACATCACAGTAATGATTGTGTGTGTGTGTGTGTATGAAAGCTGATGGGAGAACACTTTTTTCTCCCTTTGTTTTTTTTTTTTTTTTTTGAGGCAGGGTTTCTCTGTGTAGCCCTGGCTGTCCTAAAGTCACTCACTTTGTAGACCAGGCAGACATCGAACTCACAGCAATCCTCCCAGAGTGCTGGGATTAAGCCGTGTAGCACTGGGACCAGCTGGGTTTCTTTTTTTTTTTCTTTCTTTCTTTCTTTCTTTTTTTGGTTGGTTGTTTGGTTGGTTTTGGTTTTGGTTTTGGTTTTGGTTTGGTTTGGGGTTTGGGTTTCTCTGTGGAGCTATGGCTGTCCTGGAACTTGCTCAGTAAACCAGGCTGGCTGGAGTGCTGGGATTAAAGGTATGCACCACCACTGTGGAAGAACACATTTTTTTTTTTTACCACAAACTCTTTTAACCAAAAAAGTATGTAAGGAAACATATATGTTAAATGAATGAATGTCAGCATATCAGAATGTACTGTGCCTATAGATTACTTGTATAGGTCAGTGATATGACTCGGGGTGAGGGTGATTGTTGTCAAATCTGATGGTCTGAGTTCCATTCCTAGAACCCACATGTTGGAAGGAGAGAACTGACTCCTGTTCTTTGTCTTTTGACCTCCACGCATGCCCTGTGATACACACACGTATGTGTGTATGTAGGTATATACACAAATGCATGCGCTCACACAACAAATAAATATAAAAAATTTAAAATATATAACATGTTCATCACAGCATGTTATAATGAAATCTAACGTTTTCTCTTTTCCGAAAGATTTCTCTTTGAAAAGAATCACACCGTGCTAATTCAAGTGTCTTAAACATCAAAAACCAGACGTCAAGAATGAGTACATCAGAGCACTAAGAACACTTCATGGCTTTGCTAAGTATGAGTAAAGACTCAGAGAAGCTACGTCACATGGGGACAGAGAGTTGTTTTCTACAGTGGGAAAACAGCAATTTGAAAACGAGACACTTCAAAGCGAGGGAACACTAATCACCAAAATACACGGCATTGTCATTTGCGGTCCCCACGTGAACGCGCTTAAAGCCGTGAAGGAATGTCAGCAGTTTGCAGGAAATGAGCCTGTAGTAGGTCTCAAACAGTGAGCACTCTTTCCCGTCATTCATGTCTTCCCATGCCAGGACGGTTTCAGCGTCTGTAACATCCGAGGATGTGAAGATGAACTTGTAGCAGCATCTGTTGTACACGATGTGTCTTCCCCCGGAAAACCTTGAACTGTGGATGGGCACAAGGCCTGCGGACTTAGCACAAACACCTACAAATACATCAGCTGGCACCACACTCGGCGCTTCGTTCACAACCACATACACCATCCGAGCCACGTCCTGGGACATTATGAAGGCTTCCCTGCTGCAGTAGTCTGGGTAGTATTTTTCCGGATACTCACTGAGAGGGACAAATTCTTGGCTGTGGGGGTCTCTGTTAGGTGTACCATGGTGAATAACTCTACCTAAATAGATACCTTCCAAGTGTCCTTTCAGGTTGAGAAGATAGTCTACCAAGCCTGGTAGGTTGATAAACATCTCCTCGTCAGCTTTGAGAATGAACAGAGCATTGGGACAGAAGGCCACAGCCCACTGGGTCATTGAGATGACCTTCAGGGTCTAGTTTTCGGAAGTGTCCAAGAAGACTCCTTCAATTATATCATTATTCTTCCGAGACTCCACGTTGATGTCTTCCTGGGTAGTTCCCATCGCTGGCATTCCCAGAGCAAACAGGGTAAGAACTGGGTAGCCTTGGACACTACTCACACTACCCCAGGTTTTCCTGATGAGCTCCCGTCTTGTTCCGTTCCCTGGCCTACTGAAGATGAGAGAGAGCAGAAAGACGGCCTTCCCGTTACACACCTCCGGCTGGCTCAAGAGGTAATACTTGGAGGGATTACTTCTTAAAGGTTCCGTGTTCAGTTTTCTTGCCTTGTTCTTAATTTCGAGAATTTTCATATCTACGTGAGGCAAAGAACGTAAAAAGTACTCCTCTACGAAGTCAGCTCCAAAGAGCAAGGCGTGAAACAGTACAATGTTAAACAGAATAAAGCACCACTGGTGAGTTCGAAGTCTGCAGAGAGTCACCTGAGTAAGAAGAGGAGTTACGTCCTTTTCAGCTTCGTCTCCACCCCGATCATCCACCCACTGACGCCTTTGTGGGCTTCTTACAGTACCGAGCAGCCCATCCGCCCATCCTATGCTAAGTGTTTATTATTACCATTCCTCTCTTCCACTAGACTGCAGTCTCCTGGGCCGCAAACGTTATATTTCTCTCTTCTCCAGTAGAGCATTTGCCAGGAAGCGGACCCTGGCATGTTAGCTGTTCACTTTCTTGTTTGGAGGGGGGGGGGTGATAGGTATAATTATAAACTAGATACTATGTGAGACACTGGAGACGCAAAGAAGGGTCAGGCACAGGTAGACTGATGCCACGTATCAGGTGACATCATTGTGATTAAAACCTACCCGGAAACACATAGATATAGTTCTTGAATGGAAGCACTTGGATCGGTTTCCTCTCTAATTACAAAGGTCAAGAACTGTTTTCCATGATGTCGTTGCTTTGGGTGTCCACCATACCCTGGCTATTTATCAGACATTCACATTTTAGTATAACTTTCCATTTAATCTAGTGTTGGATGAGAGTCTGGCTTGAGAGCATCTCCTCGCCCATCTGACACATCTGCCAAGAAGGGCAGATTCCTACTATCTACACAGACCTCCAAGTGCCAGGTTTACTCTGCCTCGTTCAAAGACATGGAAGTGCCCTACGAAGGGGGACCTAGAGAACTGCAACAGAGCTAGGGAGCATTAAAGGAATCAAAATCCTGTTCATTATAACTTTCCTATTAGGAAGCAACTTACGGAGTTGGCTCTTACTGAGTGCTTACGTGTCGTGTGCCGGCCACTGCACCAGACACTTTATTCTGAGCTTTGCAGGGCTACCACTCTCAGATAGAGTAACTTCAAAATGAAGCTGAGCACCTGAGGCTTAACAATTTACCCAGGAGCACACGGTGGGTAAGGGGCTGAGATACATCGCCATCTACAGTTCTCTCCTAGCCACTTGGAAATTCTGACTCCTACTTGTCCTCTGCAACAACTAAATAGGAAAAAAAAAAAGAAAGAAAGAAACCAGCTCTTGCAGTTACGAGCCCCACGGCTTACCTGCATGTTGTCTGTGAGCGATTTCAGGGCTTCGGAATTTATTCGGTTCAGATCCAAGCTATGCGCAAGAGGATGTCGGATACTCCAGCTGACAGCGACTGCAGCAAGAACTTTGAGCCTCCAACTTTAAGGATAAGGTTTCTTGCCAATCACCCTGAGCTTTTGTCCCAGAATACCTGCTGCCTGCATAGGATAGGACAGTGAGTGCTTATCATGTTACAGCTAGTGAGAATCCAGAACAAAAGAAAAAAACAAAAACAAAAACAAAAAACAAGCAAACCCTTTCACATGTCCACCCAGTACTTCTCGTGGAACACGCTCCTCTCATCATGCTGCATTCCGGGTGAAACGTGTGTGTGTGTGTGTGTGTGTGTGTGTGTGTGTGTGTGAGCAATAAGGCCCGATTCCCAGGATATGCACATAGTAAAACTGTCCAATGCATTAAGGAATACAAGTGATCCCGTAGTTTTTTCTTTCCCAAAAAAAAACATCATATATTCAGGTCTTATGTGTGTCTCCTTGGGAGGGACTCTGCATTCCTGGCTTATATTGTGTAGAATATTTACTAAATCAATTTTAAGAAATAAATACTACAGGAGCCAGGTGTGGTGGTGCTCTCCTGTAATCCTGGCACACAGGGAGGCAGGGGCAGGGGCAGGGGCAGGGGCAGAGGCACAGACATCTCTATGAGTTCCAAGCCAGCCTGGTCTATAAAGCCAGGGCAAGAAAGCCAAGGCTGCATAGAGAAACCCTGTCTCAAACAAAACAAACAAAAACAAAAAAAAGAAATACAGCTGGGTGGTGATGTGTACCTTTAATCCCAGCATTCAGGAGGCAGAGGCAGGTAGGTTTCTGAGTTTGGGGCTAGTCTAGTCTACTGAGGGGGATCCAGGACAGCCAGGGCTACACAGAGAAACTTTATCTTGAAAAACCAAAAACACAAAAAATTAAAAAATAAAATAAAAGAGAGAGAAACTCAAACCACATTTGAGTCACATGACAACCTGCCTCAAAACTCAAAACCAGGGGCTGGAGAGATGGCTCAGTGGTTAAGAGCACTGTCTGCTCTTCCAAAGGTCATGAGTTCAATTCCCAGCAACCACATGGTGGCTCACAACCATCTATAATGTGAACTGATTCTCTCTTCTGGCAGGTGTAAACGCAGATAGAACACTCATATACATAAAATAAATAAATTAAAAAAAGTAACTCTAAAAAAAAAAAAAGAAAAAAAACTCAAAACCACTCCAACAGAGAATAAATACAAATCACTTTCCTCTGGTAAGCTTTATTTGAAAATGCCATCATGAAACTACTTTGTATGCTAATTTGAAAAATAAGTTAAAAAAAAAAACACTGAACAATGAAAAGAAACTACGGCTACACACAGAACATGCACACACACCCACACAAAGCCAGACTACATGAGACCATGCCTCAAACACACACATGCACAGGCCCACACAGCAAGCAGGTGTTAATGTGTGTGTTCTCTCAATAATTATCGTTCAATCGTGGAATTTTTTAAAAAATCTTTTTTCCCGTGGCTAGTCCCTTATAGATAACTGACTCCTTCCCCAACACACACACATCAGAAGCCATCGACTGTAAAGAACTACACTTCAAGCATCTTTATCACAATTTTTTAAACGTATTTATACAACATTCTATCTGTATGTACACATGCACGCCAGAAGAGGGCGTCAGATCCCAGTATAGATGGTTGGTGCACCATGTGGTTGCTGAATTAAACTCGGACCTCTGGAAGAGCAGCCGGTGCCCCTAACCTCTGGGCCATCCCTCGAGCCCCCTTTACCACAATTTTTAAGAACTCCCTTCAACAGCTTCCCTCCTGGACTGTTTCTTTTCCTTTTGGGGGGGCGGGGGTGGGATGGGGGTTGTCTGTCACAGAAGCCTTCAGTGTTTCTAACAGTTATGAGTCTGCAGTCGTCAACACCAAGGCAAAAGAAGTTTCCTTGCCCATAGCAGCCGGCAGCAGCATGGCTCGTGGAGTTCCTTTCCACATGGTTGCCAGTGGCAGTACGGACCACAGACATTCACACAGCCTCTGGAACCAGGCCAAACACGGACCTCAATCCGGTCTCCTGTGGCAGCATGGATCACAGACACCAACATGGCCTCAGACAGCTGCACAATCCGCGGACATCAACGCAGCCTCCAGCAACAGCACCGGCCGTGGACATCACCGTAGCCTCCAGGGGCAGCCCAGACCAATGAGGCTTAGTCCAGAGAATGAGCCAGTCTTCATCTAGGATAACTTGCTGCTGAGAGCCAGGGTGGTCGCGAGGTTAGGCAGCAGGTTCAGGGGCGGTACCTGCGAGAGCTCTAGGCAGCCGGCTACATCCTCCTTTGCTGGCTTTTGCAGCACTCCCATCCCTGGCGTCGCTGCTGCCTCCCTAGTTCTCCCAGACTCTGCCAGACTCGCCGCTGTTTCGCCGTCTTTCATCTCTCTATCGCACCTTTATTCAAGTGGCATTGCCACCTGCTGTGTGACACACAGTACATTGTTTTGCACAAATAGCTATCCATGTACTTATTGCATCTAAACAAGTCATTGATCTGGTTCGAAGTTTCTTTCTTTTTAAAGATTTATTTATAAAATACACACATCCATTCTGTGTGTATGCATGTCTGTGTGCACACCAGGAGAGGACACCAGATGTTATCATAGGTGGTTGTGAGCCACTATGTGGGTGCTGGAAGTTGAACTCGGGACCTCTGGAAGAGCAGCCAGTGCTCTTAACCACTGAGCCACCTCTCCAGCCCTGGTGCAAGATTTCTGAAGCACCATAAAGAGTGGGCTATCCCCAAGACTCATCTCAGACTCGGTGAGTTACAAGAGTGAGGGTGACCGTGTCACTGGGCAGTGGTCAGGGTCAGGGTCCTCTACAGCTCCAGGCCACTGCACACCTCCCTGCCTCCCCTGGGCACAACCACAGGATTGACTGGCAACAGGGCCAGACTGGTGGTGGCCCAAACCTCCCAGTAGGCAGAGCACCTACCCTACTTGGCAATGACATGCTCCTTTTCCAATTTTGGAAATTTTTACCAAGTGGAGAAGTCGAACTTGAAAATCCAAATTAAAAGAAGTTTCTACATGTACTAAATCTAACCATTAAATGTGTCTTATATTTAATAAACCATAATTCTGTTTTTGCAATTTTCTTTTTAATTATTTATGTAATTATGTACATTGGTGTTTTGACTGTCTGTCTGTCTATGTTAGGGTGTCAGATCTTGGAATTACAAACAGTTGTGAGCTGTCATGTGGGTGCTGGGAATTGAACCCTGGTCCTCTGGAAGAACTGTAAGTGCTCTTACCTGCTTAGCCATCTCTCCAGCCCCTGCAACTTTCTTTTTTCTATTTTATTTATTTATTCATTTCTTTCTTTGTTTGTTTTCTGGTTACAAATTCTGTTCCCAGATCTTTTCTGGACTTCAGATTTACAGTTTATTTTCTAATCATTCTGTTTTTTTTTTTTTTCTTTTGGGGGGGTTTGGGACTGAGGGGGCAGGTTTTCTCCGTGTAGCCCTGGCTGCCCTGGAACCCACTCTGGAGACCAGGCTGGCCTCAAACTCAGAGACTGCCTGCCTCTGAGGTTAAAGGTGTGAGCCACCACCACTTAGATTAGTTTCTTTTTCTTTGAAAGGGTAGAAAAGTATTACCTCTGGAAAGATCCACATGGAATCTGCAGTTTGTTTCATCAGATATCTGCGCTGCTGAGATTGACACCAGTTCAGCAAATAGATATTGGTGCATGCTTTTCTTTCCAACCTCCCCTGTGAGAGATTGGCGTTCATCTCTTCCTGGATTTTATCGTCCAGACTGTAGGCTGTGTCTGTATAGTATTGGATTATTCTGTCCAATATGGCAGTTATTAGCCAAAGAGGGTACTTCTCCCTGGCCCATGCCACTGCTTGGCAGATGAAGGGCGGGGCCAGCTCTCAGCACCCTGCCACTAGGGACAGCTCTACTGTGCTACGCAGGTATGGGGCAGGGCCCACTCTCCCTGGGTCACTGAGCAGGAGTTAAGCATTGTTAAAACACTGAGATGGCTCAGCAGGTAAAAGGGGGGGAAATCAACTCTTGTAAGGTGTCCTCTGTCCTCCACACATGTGATATGGTATATAAACACACACACACACACACACACACACACACGTACACACAGTACACATACACACAAAAGAGAGAATCTTTATTATGTGCATATTATCTTTATTATCTTTATTAAGGTGTTTTGCTTGCATTCCTAGTGTTGAAACCAGAGGGTGTCAGATCCTCTGGGACTGAAGTTATGGACACTTGTGAACCGCCTGGTGGGTGTTGGGAATTGAACTAGGGGCTCCTCTGGAAGAACAGCCAGTGCTCTTAACTGCTGAGCTATCTTTCCAACCCCTACAGTTTAATTTTTTTTTATAAAGCGCTGTCAGGTTAATTACGATCAATATTAGTGTCAATGGTATGTACTTTAAATCCCGATTGTAAGCCCATCTTGCAGATGTTCACTTCCTATAAATAAGAAGCTGGGGGATGTGACAATTTGGCTCCCTAATTAACAACTGTTGGGTTCTGCCTTGTGTCCTCACTGTACTGAGCAAGGAACTATTAGACAAATAGCCAGTCTATACTACCTTTATGCCAGCGCCAGCTGTCTTGAACCCTCCAAGGATGCCTTGAGAAAAATGCACAGTTGCAGCTGACTGTCCCAGCTCCTGAAGGTACGACCCACTCAGGGCTGTATGAGGCAGTTTGTACCAGACTTCTGGCTATTGCAAATATTAGATGACCCCGTAATTATTTCTACCTACACCAGAGGGGGAGCACTACTGGTGGCCTAGTGGCTTCTCTGAATGCGGTGGTTGGTCCAAAAAAGAGAGGCTGTGATTGACCCAGACACAGATTTCCCTAACTGTGATTGATATAAGCCCTTCTCTGGCCATATAATCAAGCAGCTCACTCACTCAGGGAGGTGGCTGGGAGACAGTATCCTATGCCTTCCACCCCTGAGTTGCAACATTAAGCCCCAGGAAAAAGCCCTTCGCCCTAGTGATCTTGGCAACTTTGCAGTCATGGATTGAGCTGGTAACACAAAGAGATATCAAAGATGGGGTGATGGTGGAGGCAGGGAAACTCTTGCAGTGGCAGCAAGAGATAATTAGTCAGCATCGAAAGCCTATAAAGTGGTGAGCAGAGAAGTTTCAGAGTGGTCAGGAAAGGAAGAAGGACAGAAGAAATAGGTGGCAAGAGAGGGCTAAAGGTTAAAAGTTCGTAACAACTGAGAAGGGAGAAACTGCAGGTCCTGTCCACTCTCCACCCCCACCCCACCCCTGCAAGTAGACCTTCAAGTCTTGATTCCCCTGCTCTTGTCTCCAAGTACTGGGATTATGCACATCGGCCACTATCCCTGGCTTAGCTGTCAAGTCTTTAAAACAAGACGTGTTACCCTTGTAGAGCTAAGGGTCCAGATACTCGAGGCCTGTATAAAAACTGTTAACAATTCCTCCTCTCATTCCTCCTAGCTCTTGCCCGTGTCTGTTTGTTGCCCTGGTTGTGCTGTCAAACACCAAGTGAAACAAAAACTTTCAAAAACAAGCAATGGTGGTGACAGCCTTTAGTCCCAGCACTCAGGAGGAGCAGAGGCAGGTGGGTCTTTGAGTTCAAGGCTAACTTAGTCTACAGAGTAAGTTTCGGGCCAGCCGGGTCTACACAGAGAAACCCTGTCTCGAAAACAATACAAAAGGTTTTTGACAGCAGCATCCGAAGAGCTTCTCCTTGCTTACCATGATTTCTCTCTGGAGAGAACAAAAGGATCCAAGCCAACTGATAAGTAACTTACGTGTTGCAAAGAAGAGTCATCTCTGTGGTTGAGTTACCACGTTTTGTACACAACGCTGCATGTGCTGTGATTCAAGCCTACCTCACTTGGCTGCCCCTATCCAACTCCCCTACCACGTTTTGTTTTCCACAGCCCTCGCTTCTTGCCGCACACCTTTCTTATTTAGACACCTTACTTAGTGGTGTCTTTCTCACACCACTAGATGTGAGGAAGTATGCAGTTAGGGATGTGTTCATCTGTGCCAGAACCATGTTTGGGATGTATCAAGTGTCAATGGGTTGTTTGAATTTAGACACATCCCAAGTTGGAGTCTTAGCCTTCTGAGAAAAATTGCCCCTAAGTTGGTGAAAAACAAGGGTAGATGAGGAATATAAACACTGTGCAAATCTGGAAGACGTCTTGAAACAAAGCTTTAGTCCAGGATCACTAAGTATAAACTAGACAGATGATACTGCACGTGTTAAGCCCCTTTTCTTAGCTCCTGGCCATTCTTTTCCACTTTCCGGACGGGCGGGGGCCGGAAGTACAGCCGCTTCCGCCCTACGCTGGGCGCCGGAGGGACGCGCGGAGATGACGCAGGCAGCACCGGAAGCCGCTCCCCTGTGAGGCTGCGGACCCAGAGCAGCGGCCGCAGGTCCAGGTCTGTATTCACTATTTGTCGGGCCGGGCTGGGCAGGGATCCCCGGCGACGGCGGCGTTGCTGACCCGCCGCCTTGGCCTGTCTTCTCCCTCTCCCTGCAGGCGCCATGGCTGCGGAGCGGACCCGGCCGCTGCGACGCTCTGGCGGCCCGAGCGCGCCTAGTTGGTGTGAGCCCGGCGCGAGGTCCCGGGCCCCGGGGCGCTCGCTCAGGTCAGTGCCGCGCGGAACACGGCTCCAGGAGCAGGGGACTAAGGGAGTCACGAATAGACTGAGAGACTCGAGTTAATTTTAGAGACAAGAAAATTAGATCTGAGAAATTCCTGCTTTCTGTCGCCTCGGTTTCTCTAGCTGCGAAATGAGTTAACAGTGATCCCCCAGGGCTATCAGTTTATTGAAAGATGATAAAATGTGGACAGGTTGTTTATATAATACAGAACGTTGTAGAGTGTGTAGGTAGGCACCGTGCTTGTGGATATGCCTTGAAAACAGATGTGTATTTGGGATGATGCTTTTAAAGAGGGAGAAATGACAGTATTACTACTACATTGTAACAGTAACTGCCATTTATTGCAGGCTTATAGTGTGCCAGATAGTGTGTAGAACGCTTTATCCTGTTTAATCCTCACAAACTCTTGTAGGTAAAACAGTACCAGACTACAGTTTACAAGTGAGGAAATTTGGCTTGAAATACATGAAATGATTTGCCCACAGTTACCCATCAAGTGAAAATTGAGAGCCCGCAGGAAGAAGCAGGCCGATGATTGTGAGTTTGAGGCCAGGCTGGTCTACAGAGCGAGTCCAGGGCTTCACAAAGAAACCCTGTCAAAAAAAAAAAGAAATTTCCGAGCCCGTGTTTTATAAACATTTGTATTCTTTCAGAGCGTTAGAAAATTAGACCCAAAACTAATGGCTTTTAGACCAAGGGTTGTTGTGGGCTCTAGTAGTCCCAGCACTCAGGCAGCTGAGGCAGGACAATTGTGAATTGGAGACCAGCCTGGCCTGCGTTGCAAAAGCCTGTCTCATAAAACAAATAAAAAGGGAAATAAAAAGAATTTTCAAAATCCCACAAGCAAAAAGAGAGAAAAAAAACTTAAAACACTCTGGTTTTGTATACAAACAGGTGTTTTGTTAAAAGGGACCGCATCCCTTTTCTCTCTACTTCTCTCTGGAAGCAACCCATTTAATCAGTTTCTTGAATATTCACAAAATATTTATATACACATAAGCCTCTGTATGTGTACTCGAACACACACACACGCGCACATACACTTCAAAGCCTCTGCTTTTTTTCTGGCTGTGTGGGAACTCACTCTGTAGACTCCGCTGGCCTCTCACAGCTCTGCCTGCCTCTGCCTCCAAGTGCTAGAATTAAAGACATGCATCACCATGCCAGGCCTGCCTCTGTGCTTTTTAACTGGTTGTACTTTGTAGAAAAGGGGAGGCAAGGAGATAACCTTCCCAGCAACAACAAATGTTTACCTTTTATTCTTTTAAAAATTATTTTTAGTGTGTGTGTATATGGGGGATGTTGGCAGGGGTATATGTGTGTGTCTGTCAGTCAGTCAGTTCTCTCCTTCCAACTTTACATGGGTTTTGGGTCTCCAACTCAGGTCATCAGGCTTTGCAGAAAGCACTTTTACCCACTGAGCCATCTCACAGGCCTGAAGTTTTGATTCTACCTGCACAGATTATACAGAGTAGAAGAAGGGAAGACATTCAGACTTTGCACCCATAATGCCTTGCCTGTAAAAAGATGCAAGAGTACAAATTTTTAGTTTAGGAAGCTGGAGACTGGGCAAGATTTAGCTGCTGCTCCTTGTGTAACTCGGGAAGAGCCACCCCACCTCTTGGGCCCTGTGACCCTATTCTTTGTTAGTAAGGGCAGTAGTACTTATATTTCTATAAACCATGCTAAGATCAGATGTGATATTTGCGGGCACTGCTTTAGTCATTAGGACCAACATAAATGTGATAATTGCTTAGCAGCGGAAACCAAACTCTTACTCCTATCTCCCAGTTTAGGAATATTTTTAACATACTGCACATTTCATCAAAGCTTTGTGATAGTTTCTGCTAAGGGCTGGAGAACAAGTTAAATGTTTGCATCGAGAAAGATGAGAGGGGCAAGACAGAAAGGGGTTATGTATAGAGAGAACCTAGGAAGCGGTTAGAGCCTCAAGTCATATACATGTCTCTGCTTCATTTCTGAATCTCACACTGCTGAGTTGGGGAAGCTTCTGTTTTACAAACGGAAGGTTAGATATTAGTTGAGCATTTCCATGATCACATAGGAAGTGGCTGTATCAGGTTAAAAAAAAAACTTAACTGGTCTAGCTCTTTTATGTATCCCAGCTTGCCTCTGTATCCAGCTGTCTTGTCTCTTCACACTAATGGAAAATACCATTCTGGAGCTGGCTATTCCATTGTTGGAAGGAATGCTCTAATTTAAAGCATCCCTGTTGAACTGAAATTCCGTTTCCGGAGGCTTCCCTTGGTGTGCTGCCGGCACACGACGTTATTCCTAGATGCTCTGTGAGCAAGTTCAGTCTAGACCTGTGGCTTTAAGGAAGTTTCCTCCAAAATTAGTTGATTCTTTTCGAAAAGTGAAAATTAGTGGGTTTTAGTAGTATGCTCTGCATAGTTAAATGATTTTAGAAAGGCTCTGCGTCACACACCTGTCATTCTGGTACTCAGGAGGCAGGGGCAGGAGGATCCCAAGTCTGAAGCCAACTTTAGCTAAATAATGATGCCCCATCTCAGTAAAAAAGAAAGTGAAGAAAACAGTGTCTAGTAACTCAGGTGCCCACCTTATTGTCTGGTGAATAATTATTCTTAAAAATAGGATTTCTGGATATGTTACAGAGGGACTGTGCTAAGGTTCAGACAATAGTTCATATTAATATGTCTTTTAGCCCCAAACCCTTCAGAGACCCAGGCTGTTAGGTAAAGATGATGTGATTGAAACATTTGGTTGCTTTTATTAATATACTGATTTTTTTTGTCTGAAATGAGGCAAACTGGATACTAGGAACATGGATTTTACTCACTTTACGTGAACAATGTTGGAAGATGGGATCTAATCAGGGTAACATGTCAGGAAAGAAATTTATTTTCTTCCAGGTTGAACATTTTTTTTTTTTTAATTAAATGACAAGACTGTAAGTAATGAGAGGGGGGAAAATTCCCGTCAAAAAATTCATGGGACTGTCTAAACATAATAAAAATCAAACTTAATTTCCCATGAAACTGGTAGCCAATATCAGCATCCATCAACACAGAGCAAATCTTTTTTTTTTTTTTTAATTGGTGTTTCTTCTCTTTCCATTAGTTTAAATTTATTTATTTACTTACTTACTTATTTATTTTTCTGAGGCAGTTTTTCTGTATGCCTCTGGCTGTCCTGGAACTCTCTGTAGACCTCAAACTCATAGAGATCCATCCACCTGCCCTTGCCTCCCAAACTCTGTGATAAAAGGTGTGTGCCACCATCCCTAGCTTTTAATCTTAATTATAAAGAATAAATTGACACCTATAGGTACTAATATAGGTACTTTAAATTTTCTTTGTTCCTTTTAACTCTGGAAGATTTGTTACTTTCCCAAAAGGTAAAAGGTATAACCAGGTAGACATAGTGTCTGCAGATCTTATTACCAAGTTAGATTCTTAGGAGGGAGAAACAGAGTGCTTTTTCTTCCTGCTGCTCCTCCCCATCTTTCAATGGTTCTTACAATCTAGGCTTGATACATAGCCAAAGCTGGCCTTGACCTTCAGTCCTCCCGACTTCAGTGGGTGCTGAGATTGTAGGCGTGCCAGCGCTGTGCTGATCTCGGGAGCACAGGCCTCTATTCTGTCCCGCTGTTTCCTAGCTTTGTGACCCCATGCAATTCACTATGTGCCGGCTTCTTGGAACTTTACTTTCTTCATTTGCAAAGTAAAAAGGACATTTTTTGTTGTTGTTTTTCCTCATTTTTCAATACAGGGTTTTTCTGTGTAGCCTTGGCTGTCCTGGATTCACTTTGTAGATCAGGCTAGCCTAAAACTCACAAAAATCCACCTTCCTCTGATTCCCTGAGTGCTGGGATTACAGGCATGCACCACCGTGCCTGTCGACTTGGGTTTTTTTGTGAGCATTCAGATGACTATTTTTTGCTTTGTATATTTAAAATGTGGTATTGCAATGTTGCCCAGGTTGGTCTCCAACTTGGTGATCCTCTGAGGGCAGGCTTTGTGAGGCTAGGATTGCAGGCATGTTCCACTGTGCCAGCATTGTGGGGTTTATTAATTTGCTTCACCTTGTAGGCTGCGAGGATCCTCATGGCTCTTTAGGGAACACATTTAAGAGCTGTCACTAGCTCAAGTAAGGCTTATAAAAGCAAATTGTGAACAGTCTTTAGTAATCCATGTCATAGCAGACAGTACTGTAGGAGAGATGGAACACCAGAATACCTGCAGCACACATCTTAGTACACGTTTGTTTTTCTTTCTTCTTCACATCTTTTTGCTTCAACATCTCTTATAATACCAAGTCATTAGTTTTGTGATTTGGGGTGGCAGATCATGGTACACCAAGCATAACCGATGCAGAGGTCACAGCTCCAGAGATTTACTTTGATTGTATTACATCCTGGTACTGTTTTTTCTGATTTGATTTCCCAAATAGAATGTATTTAGTAAGGAAGCAGTTTTGTAATGGTTTGGATGGAAGGTTGTATGTAGACTAGAATACACTCTTTATGAATGTTCTGTAGATCTGTTTGGTGGCAATGCATGTGGCATGACTTCAAAAAGCAAGTCACATACTGACATAAGTTCCTTTGACATTTACAGTATCTTGATTTGTTAAAATGTTTTCTTTTGTGTGCATGAAAACTTTCAGATATAGTTTATTAACTATAAAGTAATTAAGCATAAAATTGTAATGCCAATTTTCACTAATTTTTAATACTTCATTTATTAGCAGTCTTGCTTGAACAATTTTTTGAACAGAACTAATACAATATTTTGATGTGCCACAGGTAAATATTTCCATAACCTTATGGAGAGAAAGGACTTTGAGACATGGCTTGATAACATTTCTGTTACATTTCTTTCTCTGACGGACTTGCAGAAAAATGAAACTCTGGATCACCTGATTAGTCTGAGTGGGGCAGTCCAACTCAGGCATCTCTCCAATAGCCTGGAGACCCTCCTCAAGCGGGACTTCCTCAGACTCCTTCCCCTGGAGCTCAGTTTTTATTTGCTAAAATGGCTCGATCCTCAGACTTTACTCACATGCTGCCTAGTCTCTAAGCAGTGGAATAAGGTGATAAGTGCCTGTACAGAGGTGTGGCAGATTGCGTGTAAAAATTTGGGCTGGCAGATAGATGATTCTGTTCAGGACGCGTTGCACTGGAAGAAGGTTTACTTGAAGGCTATTTTGAGGATGAAGCAACTGGAGGATCATGAAGCCTTTGAGACCTCATCATTAATTGGACATAGTGCCAGAGTGTATGCACTTTACTACAAAGATGGACTTCTCTGTACAGGTAAGGGACCTGGAAGAGTTGTGGGGGAGGGGAGGCAGTGGTCTTTTTCTTTAATAACTTACAAGGATTAATCCTTTTAAGATCCGCCTTGAGGAGAGCAAGTGTTGGTTATACAGGATATTTGTAATTTCCTCTGAATAGATGTCCCCTCATTCTCTTCTTCCCTCTGGAGAAGAGCCATTTCTGTAAGGATTTATGAGACAAGCTTTACACATTCTCTTAAGTATAATATGAATCAGAAAACTGTAGACTGCTTCTTAGTTTTTATCTTATTTATCATTAAAAAATATTTTACACTAAGTGGTGGTGATGCATGTCTTTAATCCCAGCACTAAGGAGGCAGAGGCAGGCGGATCTCTGAGTTTGAGACCAGCATGGTCTATAGAGTGAGTTCTGGGACAGCCAGGGCTACACAGACAGAAAAAGAAAAGCCAAACCATTATAGGACTAGCAAGAACATTTTAGATGAATTATTTAACCTATCTATGTTTGTTTTTCTGCCTTTAAAAAAATGGAAAGGGACAAATTCCTTCCTTGCTCAAAAATCCTGTGACCCTAAGAATGAATGTTAAAAGTTTGGACATGGAAACAAAGACAGCTGGATAGTTTTGGTTTTAGTTTTTATTTGGTTTTAGTTTTTTGAGACAGGGATTTTCTTGGCTGTCCTGGACTTCCTTTATAGACTGGCCTTGAACTCTGTCTTTGCCTCCCTGAGTGCTGGGATTACAGTCATACACCCCTACCTCAACCCCACTCATTTCCCTGTCCCCTCACCCTTGCAAAACCCCCCCCCATAGAAAATAAAACGCACACACAAACACAAAACAAAGCATAGACAAGCTGTAGTGTGTCATAGTGTATCCCACAGTATGTCCCTCTGTCCACACATCTTCACTTGCAAATGTGCACTGCATTGAGTCATGGGTCTGGTTTGAGGTTTCTGGCCTCTATCACACCATCAGTATTGCATCCTCACTGGACTCCTCCCAGTTATCCTGTTGTTGCCCTGTGTTGCGGTGGTCTTGCAGCTTTGGATCAGCAGGACTGACTCTTTCTTGTACTCTAACAGTTCAAAGATGATGTAGGTTTTGGGATAGCCAACTCAAGGTCCTAGATCGGGGCCTGACTGGTACTGGGCTGGTCAGCCTGCCAGCTATCCTGCATCTGTACCACTAGGGCAAGGTCTCCAGCACTGGTCTGGCTGGGCCACTCAATACTGCCATCAGCAGGAGGTGGGGTCAGCTCTCCCACTCTCATGCCCTTACAGCCTGCTCACCCACACCTCCAGAGCCAGCTTTACCGTGCTGCCCAGTTGAAGCACCGGGGCTCATTCTCCCAAGTGCTGCCAGCTCTCACACTCTTGGGGCAAGCTCACCTGTGCCTTTGCCATCAGCGCCACTGTGTTGCCCTGCCTAAGTGCAGGGCTGGCTCTCTAGCGCTAGAGCTGGTGAGGGACAGGGACAGCTCTCCTATACTCAGGCCCTTAGGCTAGCTCTACTCTGCTGCCCAGGTGAGGTACAGGGGCCGCTCTTCCTGAGTACTATGCCATCAAGGGACAGGCCTAGCTCACCTGCTCTCATGACCCCAGAGCCAGCTCTCCCAATTGTCTTGGGTGATCAGAGGCAAGGAGGCAGAGGGCACCACCCCTGCACCCAAGCCGTCCCCTCTATCAGGGCCAGCTCTGCTGTGCTGCCCAGGTAAGGAAGGTACAGGGCCCACTCTCCCGAGTGCTGCCAACAAGCTGGATGTTTTTAAAACTTGGTACAGGCTGTTCTGTGCAGTCCAAAGTGATCTATCATAGCAATGCTTTCAGTTTTGAATGAGTTTATTAAGTCTATGGTAAACAAAAGGTTAGAGAATAAACTACAAAGCAACAGATAGCAAAACACCATCAGGTTGAGCACTTAAGACATCTAGCAGAGATGACTGGAGCAGCCTGACTGGAAGAGCAAACACAAGGTAACACTATCAAGTCAGGAGCTTACAAACTTCAGCAGAAATCAACTAGAGAAGCCCCCTTGAGACAGCTAGCTGTCTTTCCCAATTAAAACAGTCCTGTAGAGTGAGACTTCAGCAGATATCATCATCAAATTGGGTGCTAACTTAGCATCCCTAAGAAACTGACTAGGGACATTCAGATAATCATTTATATTCCCAGTTGAGTTTTCTTTCCTTGGATAAGCTTCCTTTGCTGAACTGCTGCCTTCTCATTCCCAAACTGCAGGCATTTTTATATTATGTGATAAACAGTAGTAACTGTTGTAGTAAATTAAATGAGTGTTTATTATTAGCCCTATAATTATTGTGGCAGTATTATTTGACCCTCTATCACAAATAATAAGACACAGACACCTGTTAGATTTTATAATTGCCTTATTACCTTGGGCCAGACAGACATTTCTACCTACACTATCTCAATAACCTCATCATCCATCTCCTGGCCCCAATCCAATGCCATCCACCTTAATCATTCCTATCTGTGCTACCTTTCATCCATAATCCCAAGATACATGCTTGTATTTTCATCTGGGCCTTTTCATGCCATTATTGGAGCCCTTCCTCCCAGCCCATGTGGTTTCTTCTCCATTCTTACCCATCCATGGTGGTGTCTTCATTTCTTTGTGTCCATTTCCGCAATTCTCATGGGGAACCTTAGCCATGCCTGTCCCATTCTGCCCTGCTCAGGAATAGACCGTTTAATCAACCAATCAGGTATAATGTCTTTGGCAGGTTTACACAACAAGAATAAGTGTATCTGGGAAGTAATCAGATCTAAAGGGCCAGCAACCAGCATCAACATACAAGCATCAGACCAACCCCCAACAAATAACTTTGCTGTTTTGTGGTGGGATTTTTTGTTGTTGTTGTTGTTGTTGTTTTGTTTCGCTTTCTTCTCCCAGTTACAGAGCTGGGGGGTGGGTCACCTTGTTCTTGGACAGGGTGCCTTAGAGGACACTTGAAATATATGTGTTGGATGTCTTAGTTACTTTTTCTATTGCTGTGGTAAGACACCACGGCCAAAGCAACATAAAGAGAAAGCATTTAATTTGGGACCCATGGGTCCAGAGTTCATGACCATGGTCAGGCCACAGTAGTAGACAGGTAGGCAGGTATGATACTGGAACAGTAGCTGACAGCATGAGGTAGAGAAAGGTAACTGGGAATGGCATGGGCATTTTCAAAGCTCACCCCCAGTGATATTCCTCCTCCAAGGCCACACTTAATCCTTCCCAAGCAGTTCTACCAACTGGGGACCAAGTATTTAATTACATGAGCCTTTGGAGTCCAGTCTCATTCAAACTACCACACTGGAGTATGGAACAGGAGAGCCCTCAATCTCAGATTATACTTTTAACAAGCTTAAGCAAAACACACTGACAGTGTACCCATCTAATATACATTATATGTACACAATTGTTGAAGTTTTAAGTTTTGTGTTACTATTGAATTATAATGGAAGTGATATCTGTCCACATTTAGGTAGCACTTTGTTTTCTGTTTTCAAGACAGGGTTTTTCTTTGTGGCCCTGGCTGTCCTGGAAGTCACTCTGTAGACTAAGCTGGCCTTGAACTCACAGAGATCCACCTTAGGCAGCACATTTCAACGGGTAATATAATAATTCCTTCCCAGGGTGTCCATATTCATTTTTCAATCTAGGACATTTTATATTTCTGGAGTGCCAAAACTCTATCATTTTCACTTTTAAAAAGGATTAGCTGGTCCTTTGTATAAATATGTAGCTATTTTCATGTTAATATATATTCATGTTTCTGCTTTGTGAACATTTGTTTGCATGCGTTTTTCCCTGTTTGGATTATTTACTTTGTGACAGAGGCTGAAGAGAATTGTCAGTTCTACAAATGTGAATGATTCTCTGTTTAGTGTCTTTACACATATGCTGAATCACTGCTGTGCCCTCAGAAGCCAGAATGCTTTACTTTTAATCTAGTAAGAATCAATCTCATTATCTTTAAATAGTTAAGAAATAAGTAACTTCTCAAGATTAGATTCATTTTCTGAAATGCCAAGCACTTTTCCAGTTTGTCATTTGATTAAGGCATTTCATGGTTAAAGCTTGCTTCATGCTTTGTGTTTTCCTTGCAAGGTTTGATTTTTGGAACATTACGATCCATTTTTCTCTGCTTTGTGATTTTGTAGTTGTAATGTCTTCCTCCCCCCCTTTGGTTTTTTGTTTTGTTTTTCAAGACAGAAGTTTCTGTGTAGCCTTGGCAGTCCTGCACTCACTTTGTAAACCAGGCTGTTTTCGAATCTCACAGAGATTCGCCTGCCTCTGCCTCCCAGAGTGCTGGGATTACAGGTATGTACCACTAATCCTGTCTAGTTGTAATGATTTTTATAAGTCTGTAGCAGGGTTTGTCTGTTTTTAGATTAAGATATGGTATTGACATGACACTACTTATTAAATATTGGCACAGGCGAATTGTCTTCATAATTGCCTATAGCTTTTTCTTTTTTTTCTATTTTCTATTTTTTTTGGGGGGGGTGGGGTGCAGGTTATGGTGAGGGTTTTTGTTTTTTTGTTTTTAGATAGTGTTTCTCTGTGTAACAGCCCTGGTTGTCCTGGAACTCATTCCGTAGACCAGGCTGGCCTCAAAGTCAGAGATCCACCTGCCTTTGCCTTTCCAAGTACTGAGATTAAAGGTGTAAACCATCACCCAGCTTAATTTGAAATTTCTAATGGTAGCATGCCTGAGACTTTACAGGTGAGAGAAATATGTTGGAGAATTATATGTTTCTGTTACTGTTCTTTTTAAAAAATTTTTATTTATGTGCATGTGTGTGAGACCTAGGGAGGCCAGAAGAGGGTGTCAGATTCCCTAGAGCTGAAGTTATAGGCAATTGTGAATACCCATTATGGGAAGCAAATTCCGTCTTCTAGAAGCACTAAGCATTCTTAACCACTGAGCTCTCTGTCCTACCCTTTTTGTTTCTTACAAACTTGAGTTTTCACTGTGGGAGAATTGTGGAATCCTGAATTTGGCAGTATATGGAGACTCTCAGCACCTTGAGAAAGCAATGAGATGGTTATTACAAAGAGGGTGATGGCTAACAGTTGTCTGGTGTGCAGAGAGCTAATTCTCCTTTTGTTGTGCAGTTTATTTCTGAGATGATGAGAGAGGAACCTAGTGTACTTTGTGACAGTCAATAGCTACTTATTTATGAAATATCTGCCATTAAACAGTATGGGAGCACACCTGAGAGAAGCAGGGCAGTTCTTGGCTCAGAGGGTAAACATGCTCCATGACTTAATGTAGGTGAAAGTCTCCCCGAGGACTGCCAAGTCACAATACTTGCCTTTCCAGAGCGCAGCCTCTGCTCCACTGCAGTGCATCATTACTGTGCAGGATTCAGGTGTGGTGGCTAACTCTGACTTTGCAAGGGAAGCCTCAAGTCTAGAGTTTTGTGAAATGTACTAAGTAGATTTTAAAATACTGTGGCTAAGTAATGTTTAGCCTGTGAACAGTAGCTCCGTTGTAACCTGGATTGAATGAGAAAATGAGAGCTGTAACAGCTCTAGTAAGATGTGTGACTGAGGGTGTAGCTCTGTAAAACACTAGCCTTGAATGAGCAGTCTTTTTTTTTTTTTTAATTTGATGCCCCAACTCCACCCCCACCAAAAAAGAAAAGGTAGTTAAAGTGTTGTAGCAAAACTTTATTTTTCAGAGGAACAAGTAATTCCTGTAGGGAAAGTGTGGTTAAAACACTGGGGAACGTTAGTTTGTTTTATTGGATGTCTCCCACTCACTGTGGTTCAGGAGCTTTCAGTACGGCTTTCTCCAGAAAGAACGTCACCCCGTTCGCCTTGTGTTCCTGCCTGCAGTTTGACAGGACAGTACAGAAGCCAACAACATCCAGGAGTGTGCCTGGCTGGAACCCCTATGATTCTCTAGTATCTAACATGGGTATTTCTTATCTGTGGGGATGTCTTCTGAAGGCCTCCCAGCAGGAAAATCAAACCCTTCCACAAAATGCTTCAACATTTTTTTCTGGAACCTTTTGCTGAATTTCTGTGACCCCATAATTCTTGCATTCTGCATCCCTGCAAAATCAACACGATACAGACAGTGCTTACAAGTTCTACCTCTGGTCCCTTTCTGCCATAGCTGTGGTGGACTCTATGCATTGGTGAATAAACTTCCCTGGTACATGTTTTTCCAGCTTAGAATTCCTCAGTTCAGGTTCTCTAGTTTCCAGGTTTACCATTATGAGTGCCTTGCAAAGTGGAAGACAGTTCTGTTATGCATTGCCCTACATATTGCAGGGTATGTAGCATTCTTGGTCTCTGCCTAGCTGATGCCAGTAATGTCCCTCAGCCCCACCATTTTGACAATTTCTGAAATGTTCCCTTAGGAGACAGCCACCCAGATCTCTTTCAGAGCCCTTACTTAGGCTCTGAGCTTCCAAGTTTACTAACCCATTACAGTGTAGGTCAGGCTAAACCAGTGCAGAAATAGGATACTAAGGGGAAGTGTGCTTTTAAAAAACTAAAAAGGAACAGTTGAGTATAAGAGTAGCCATTAGACTTGACAGAACCTGATAGGGAATTGATTATTTGTCAAGAACAGACGTCAGAAAGTGGCTGGCATTTCAAGCTCTGTTTTCTGAGAGCACAGAATAGTATTAAAAGCAAGGTTAGAAAATGACAGTGGATTTGAGATAATAAAAGGAGTTCGGTTTGGGATCAACTAAATCTATTTACCTGTTGTATATATAAGTGGAAATTCCCAAGGTATTTGAAAAGAGTACTCAAGACTAGAGAGAAAAATACAGGAGTAACATCATAGCAAATAGCTAGAATAGTGAAACTTTTTATTTTTCTTTTATGTGTATGGGTGTTTTCCTGTATGTATGTCTGTGTACCACATATGTCCTGGTGCCTATAGGAGCCAGAAGAGGGTGTCACATACCCAAAGATGTTATAGTTGTCAGCTGCCATGTGGGGGTGCTGGGAGCTGAACCCCAGGTCTCTGCAAGAACATCAACTACTCTTAATCCCTGAGCCATCTCTTCAGCCCTCAAAATTTATTTTTTTTTTTGGCCACATTAACTTATTCATATTTTAATTTTAGATTTATTTCCCTCTCTCCTCTGCCCCTTATGTCTGTCTGTCTGTTTCTGTCTCTCAATTATTTGGGGGATGGAAAGGTGGCTCAGTGGTTAAGAGCACTTGCTCTTACAGAAGACCTGGGTTCAATTACCAGCACCCACATGGTAGCTCACCGTATCTGCAACTCCTAGTTCCAAGGGATCCAGCACCCCTTTCTGGCCTCCATAGGCATTGGTACACAGACATACATTCAGGGAAAACAACCATACACATAAAAATAAGCCTTAAAAAAATTTTAAGTGTGTGTATATAGATGTCAAAGGACAACTTTGTGGAGTTGAGAGTCTCTCCTCCCACCTTTACATGGTTCTAGGGACTGAACTCAGGTCACCAGGCTTGAAGAGCAAACACTTTCACCTGCTGAGTCATCTTGCTAGCTTCTGAAAGTTTTTTAAACCATAAAATCTTTAAAGATTTTAAACTTGGCTTAAACATAGAACTGGAGTATAGTTGAAGAGCCAGTTGTGCCAGAGCCTGAGGCATGTTGCATTCCACCTGCCTGTTATGATGCACAGCTGTAATCCCAGGGGACTTCATCTGAAACTTCTTTTATGCTCATGCACTTGCTGTGGTGTTTTGGGTTTCCCACTACTGATTGTGTGAATGATACTGCTTATTTACCTGTTAGACTAAGGGCCATGAGAGCAGAGGCTCCTGCCTTCTGTTAACTGAATGGAATATCAGTTAAACACTGGTAGTTGATCAGAAGGACCTCAATCTTTCTGTGTTCTGCTGTGCCACGCAGGAGCCATAGGCTCTATTGGGTTCTTGAGCTATGGCTTATTCAGATTGAGGTATGAAACAGGAAATACCAGAACTAAGACTTGGAAAATAAAAAAACAAATAGTGTCATGTTAATACTTTGTTACATGTTGAAGTATTAACACTTTTGACAACTATTAGAAGACAAATTGTATGTCATCTCTGACAGGTACACTGTTACCAACTTCTGGTTCTCAGAGTGTTATTGATGATCAAGATTTGCCTGACAACTTTTCTAAGATTACAGTGTTTTAGTTCTACAACCCTAGAGTTTGTTTAGCTTCCTGTTTGTGTGGGATTTGTCTTTGTAAGTTTATTTATTTTTCTGTCCTGTTGAGGTAGAACTCATACCCTGCTAGGCAGTCACTCAGCTGTGTCCTCAGTGCACTGTGTGTTCCAATAAAGATCCCTTGGTGATCCTGAAAGTCTCCCATGTCCATCACAAACCATCAGCAAGCCTAACCCCTTATTTTATAGAATGGGGACATGGAGATCTAAAAAGCTCTGTGTGGAAGTCTTGCCCATGATCCTTTTCAAGGAATGGTTATTTAAGCCATCCTCTGAAACACTAGCTCTTAACTAGAGGTGAACTTTTTTTGTTTTGTTTTTGAAACAGGATTTCTCTGTGTAGCCCTGGTTGTCCTGGAGCTTGATCTGTAGACCATGCTGTCCTTGAACTTGGGAGATCCACCTGCCTCTGCCTCTGCCTCCTGAGCGCTGGGATCAAAGGCATGTGCCAACACTGCCCTGCTGGATTTTTTTTTTTCCAATTTACTTTTTTAAAACTGTGTGTGAGTTTTGCCTTCATCTATATCTATGTCACATGTGTGCTTGGTGTGTTTGGAAGCCAAATGAGGGCATCAAATCCCCTGGAACTGGAGTTACAGATGTTTGTTGCCCACCATGTGGACAATGGGAATTCAACTCAAGTCCTCTGCAAGAATTGTATTTGCTCTGAACCTTGGACCCATCTCTCCAGTCCCTGAGGGAGAGATTTTGTAGCTGGTATTTAATATTTGGTATTGCAGACTTAATGAAAGTTCAGTCCTGAGTTACTACCATTATTAGTGTAACCTTTTCATCAGAGGCCATGCTGTGTCCTATGTCCTTGAGGCCGAGCCCTGAAGAAAGAAAACATACACAAACCATGAAGCTGGGATCTGGTGGGGTTCTAATGGATGGTTACTTAGTCTCAGTAGGAGGTGTCTTAGGCTGTCTCAGACTGTAAACAGCTGAGAAGAAGAAGCTGCAGTTCTTAGTCTCATCACACATTGATTAGTCATTTGTAAGCATTCATATTCCCAAGGAAAGCTTTGCTGGCCCTTTTAGCCTGGCCCATGTGTATATGTTTTGCCAGTTTACAACATGGGCCAATTGGTCTTGGAGTCATCGACGGCCTTGTTCATGTCAAAATACACATTCATTCAGGACTTCACTCACTCAGGGCTTCCTCCACTCCCTACAGACAGAAATAAGCCATTTTTTTTTCCTACAGATTTTAAGCTCTTTTTGAGTTGCTATGTCTGTGGGTAATTTATCCCTAATATTCATTGAGGTTCCTTTGACATCTTTCAAGATAGCTCAAGAAATTACCAGTTAGCTTTTGTAAGGTATCCGTGATCTGAGGCTTAACTTTGTTCCCTCTTAAAATGCACTGTGCTTTCCTAGTCAGCATTCTGTATAACTTGGAACTGTTGGTTAGTGAGTGGACAAGCATGTAGCCATAGGTAAGATGAACCCAGGCAAATCTTTAAGTTCTAATAGCCAGAGATTTATGAAATGTTTCAAGTGGAAGCATGAGGGGATGCTTTAAGATCCTTCTATAGCCCAGATTATTGAGGGGAAAAGACAACAAGCTTGGTCCTGTGCTAGGAAACTTAATGTCGTTTTGAGGCCCAACAAGCAAACGTTATCCTGTGGCTTCAATTTTCTTAGCCTTAAAGCAGAACTACCACGGAGGGGATTATGGAGAGCCTCTTTGGGGGTTGACTTTCCTTCTGTAAGGTGTCTAGGTCATTCTAACCTTCCTGGTTTTTCCTCTTCAAGGGTCAGATGACTTGTCTGCAAAGCTGTGGGATGTAAACACAGGGCAGTGTGTTTATGGCATCCAGACCCACACTTGTGCAGCTGTGAAGTTCGATGAACAGAAACTTGTGACAGGCTCCTTTGACAACACCGTGGCCTGCTGGGAATGGAGTTCCGGAGCCAGGACCCAGCACTTCCGGGGGCACACAGGGGCTGGTGTGTTCTCCTCTTTCAAGTGTCTTTATAATTATTTTAGCCATGCCTCTTAAGACTTAGGAGTCAAATATTTGAAGTTTTTTTTGTAATTTTTTTTTCTTGCTTGCTTGCTTACTTTAACCTGCCATTTTCTCTTTTTAAGCACTGCAGCTATTTCCCTGCATTTCAGTTACTTTTCTACCTGTATGCTGGAGAAGTAGCTGTCCTTCACTACCAGTTCATGTTTCTCATGCTGCACTAAAAGCACATTTGCTTTTAGTGAATTCCATACTGTCACACTTAGACATTCGGACCACTGCATTTATAGATTTAGAGCTGAAAAATCCCTGGGCAGAAGGCAGTTCACAGATTGTACGATCTTCGCTGAGTAGCACACAATGTCCTGGGGCTAGCATAAAAGAAATTTGTTCTAGAATGCCATATTTATGAGCAGACTCCTAGTACACTCCACCTATATTGTTTACTCTTATGTCTTGAGTACCTTATTTTGTACCTGATGCTGAGTAGTTTTTAAAACCTGTTTTCCTAAAACTACCCCCACAATTAAACTCATATTTAATTTTTTTAAATATGCTCTTACTTGTTTTAGAAATGGCTTGTAGTCAAGTGTAGTGGTGCATGCCTTCAATCCCAGCACTTGGGAGGCAGAGACAGGTAGAGCTCTGAGTTTTGGTCCAACCTGGCCTAAGTGAATTCCAGGTCAGCCAGAGCTACACAGAGAACTCGTCTCAAAACAAAAAAGTCTATGGCTTAGCACAGATCGCGTCCCATTAAACAGAGTAATACTGCATGACATAAGGACACCACAGCTTCGAGGTAATTTTATTCCTTATCTCTGAAAATGTTCTGCTGCTGTGGCTTTTAACCCATGCCTTTGCTGTCCCCTTTGCCTGGCGGATTTTTTATTTTCTTAATAAGCTGTACACATTCTTCATGTCCCATCTCCATTGTATCTTCTCTGAAATCCTCTCTGATAGCTCTGGGTAGTTAGTCTCTTCAGTGTTTCTCTAGCAAGAGTAACCTCTTCCCAAAAAACAAAAAGTTGTTCCTCAGAGTTTCTAGAAGGAAAGAGGAGCCTCTTTAGGTCCCCAATATCCTTTTGAGTTTGGTAGACATTTAAAAACAAATACTGAATAAATTGATTTGTCCTGAACTAGTAATAGTTGCTAGGTGTGCAACTTCAAGAAATATAAACACTGCTGAAGGAATGACTAAGTCTGACCTCCAAGATCCTTGTTTGTCTCTTCCCTGTCCTTTCTGGAGTCTGAGTGCTGTTCTGCAGCTTTCTTTACATTTTCCCCTTAGTATCAGATCTTAAAAGGTGTTTTCCCATAAACTAGATAAAAGTGTGTGTGATGTCAAACAGTCCTAAAAAAGGATGCCATCATTTCCATTACACTGAAGCTGATGCAAATAGAAGAGAGTGTTCTCCGAGTTATTTTCAAAGTTTTTTAAACCTTAGGACAAAGTATAATAATAATCGTTTTGGAAAAGATTTTCTTTGTATCATAAAATTGCTGATTTAGTAGCTCAATTTTTAATGTGCTCTGGTTAGGAAGTTATGTATTTGGATAGCTAGGAGAATAAATTATTGTTTTTACAAAGATCCATTGACAGTGAAGTGTGTTTTAACTTTGATTGTGTTGTGTGCACTAGTGTTCAGTGTGGACTACAGTGATGAACTGGATATTTTGGTGAGTGGCTCTGCGGACTTCGCTGTGAAAGTATGGGCTTTATCTGCTGGGACATGCCTGAACACACTCACTGGGCATACTGAATGGGTCACCAAGGTAGGAAGACCAAGGACTATCTTTGGTGTCAGGCTCCTGACTGGTGGGGAGTAGAGGATGGTAGACCTGGTGTATACTGTAGATGAATTATAGTGGAATAGATGCACTCATGGAGCACGGTGGTGTACAGTAGGGACCAGCATGTAAAAACCACTTAGATAATCTGGTACATGTCTGTAATTCTGGCACTTAAGGCTGACACAGAAATACCATGAGTACAAGGCCAGCCCTGGGCTGCAGAAAGATACCCTCTTTGATTCAGATTATAATTTTCATCTTGAAAAATGGGTGTTTGAAAGTTAGGGCTATAGCTCAATGGTAGAGTGTTTGCTTAGCATAACAATTGATCTTCACAATTACTAGCACGCACCCACACACACACAAACACCAATGACTGAGCAAAAAACAAAAACAAAAGTGGCATTTGCAAAATGTGAGATAGGACAGAGCTAGGTGTAGCTCAGTATGAGAACCATGTACTCAAGCCAGTACCACCATGACAAGATATCTGGGGGGCAAAGAAGAGAAATGAGTCTTTAACAGAATACTGTCATGTTTTCAAAACAAAATTGTTATGTTTCAAAAGTAGTATTAGTGACAGATATGTTATGCAAACACACTTTTCTTAATTAAGCTCATTGTGCTATTTTCTAAGATTTACCCACAGCCCTTAGGGGCCTAAAGTTTGGGGTTTGATTGAATGCCTTTCCCCTAGGTGACTGTTAATAAAGGTAAAATTCTGGGCTCCACCCTTTTGCCCCTTACCCAGCTCCAACTTTTTTTTTAAATATTATTAAAAATGCAAATTAAGAAAAAATAAAGCCACCTGAAGTTACTCATTCATTGTAGGTTAGAAAAAAAAAAAGAAAAGAAAGCCAGGCGTGGTAGTACATGCCTTTAATCCCAGCACTTGGGAAGCAGAGGCCAGCGGATCTCTGTGAGTTCAAGGCCAGCCTGTTCTACAAAGTGAGTTCACGACTGCTAATGCTGTGTTACACAGAGAAACCCTGTCTTGGAACCACCACCACCCTCAAAAAAGGAGAAAGAATCACAGGTCTCTGCCAGATTTTCGGTTGGGTGGGCAATCTAAAATTTCCTCTGAATAGGTAAATGTAAAGGCAGGGTAATTTGTGAAAAGATAGGTAACTGCTGGGTATAGTCACTTGGACAGAGAAGCTGTATATTACTGGCAACCCTAACAGGATTCTGCCTGTGATGTGTACACGTTCCTTCCTCCTCTTTCCATGACCTCAACTCTGTCATCTATATTAAATTTTTACACACCTTAAAGGAGATACGGGGTAGAACTGAGCAGAGGTGCCTGATGCATGCCAGCAGGTCTGCCAAGTCTAGTTGCATCAATAGCTCACCTCTGAGTGTGCTGATTTATTTTAAAGATTACTAGGACCTAAAAATAACAGGTAACCCTAAGTGCTATGGAATCTTGCCTTTTTCTGTTAGTATTGTTTGCATAGTTCTATTTGATCTTCATGCATTTATATGAAGTAAGGTAATGGGCATTTTGCTTCATATCTTAAAAATAACTGATAAACAGCAAGTCTGAAATACAACTTAGTTTGAGGCTCTGGGTTCAGTTTCCAGCACTAAATAAACAACACACCAGCTACATGGCCTCTTCCAGGGCGGCATAGTTACCAGATCTCTGTGACCATTTTATAGATTCTTACCCAAGTCTGCTGCTTTTTCCCTTATGGTACACATAATCATGAAAACAGATCTGTTCCTTGTTTATTTACTTTTAAGGACTGGGTCTTTTTAGGTAGCCCTGATTGATCTGGACTCACTATGTATACCATGCTGACCTTGTTCTCACAGAAATCTGCATGTCTCTCTGCCTTCCACATGTTGGAATTAAAGGCATATACTACCACAGTAGGCTCCTTACATTTAAGTTGCATTATGTGTGTGTATGCATGTGTGTCTGTGTCTAATAAGAGCAGTAATAAATAATAAAGAGAATGCATTACTGGATGTCAAACTGGGGCCTTGTGCATACTAGGCAAGTATTTCACCATGATACATCCAAGTCCACACTTTGGTCCTAATATTAGTACTTCCAAAATAAAGATAAGATTACATGCTCCCACCAGGTGGCAGTGGCACAGGCAGACAGATCTCTGAGTTGGAAGCTAGACTGGCCTATAGAGTTCAGAGAAACTCTGAAAAAAAAAAAAAGGAAGAGAGAGGAAAAAAAAAATAAAGGATAGTATCATTGAGATTCAGTTAGTAACAATATGGTTGTAATAAAAATGTTAGGAGTTCCACATTATATAGTTCTATTATCAATTCAAACTCTTAATTTAAAAACAATATAATAGTATAGGAACAAAGTGAAAGGGTCTTTGTATAATATAGATGCTTATGCTTATAGGTGGTTTTGCAGAAGTGCAAAGTCAAGTCTCTCTTGCACAGCCCTGGAGACTACATCCTCTTAAGTGCGGACAAATATGAGATCAAGGTAAGTCTTCTCCCTCCATAATTTATCTCATATAAAAACTACAGAGGTGGGGCTGGAGAGATGGCTCAGTGGTTGAGAGCATTGTCTGTTCTTCACACCCACATGGCAGCTCACAACTGTTTGTAACACCAATTCCAAGGGACCTGACACCTTCACACTAATGCACATAAAA